TTACCTGCTTAGGAATCAAAGTAACAAAATATTTGGAGCCAATTTTCCCCCCTCTCCTAACCAACATTGGCAAAACCTTCACTGCTGGAGCAAAGGCTATTTTTCGTGGTTTGGTAGATAAACATTCTAAAAATGAATATTCTGCCCCATCTCTTATACTTATTTCAGACCATCCAGATTCAATTACTTAAACAAATGATATTGGCCCTATGCTGGAATTTTTACCCAATTTGCTTGTGGTTCCAAACATCATCCCATACACTATAAACTTCTCAAATAAAAAAAAATAAAAACTAGGTATCGGGTTTATAGACACAATTTCAATACAAAACCGCCGATTCAGCCAGAATCTTAGACTGTTGTAGGAACTCCTTGCTGAAATAAATAGGTCTGACTGGAAAAAGTACTTTTCATCTATTCTACTAGCAGCTTTATCCTGGCTCACCCAAAATCTGGTTATCCACCATCCCTTCATTTTGGCAACCATGCAGGCATTTTCATCTGTTGCAGACAAACTAATCGCTGTCCAGAGTCATCAGGCATGCTCCCTATTGTGGGTAATCCCAACTTTGCCGCTAGCTTCCGAGACTCTTTCTTTGCGGCATATGGAAAACGTTTTGGGCTCCATCACTTCCTTTCCATTAACAAACCAAAATCAATGATTTACAATATATAAAATCGCCCCCCCCCCCTTGCCTACTGGAGAGCCTTGCAACTCCAATATTTTTTGTTCCCCGTCATGAAAGACATGCAACACACTGCCCACCTTAACCTCCTTTGACCAGCTGTGCACACACACTCTGCCAAAGCTGTACGCTTGTGATAGAAATCCACTGAGGAATTCATACCTTACCACATCTCCCAATGGAAAACTGGGCTGGGAAGAACAGCGACTGATTACCAGAGGCACTCACTCATGCACTTGGCTCACAAGGCCTCAATAGCCCATAAATTTCAGGAAGCAGGGTATAAGTTGCTTTCCAGTTTGTACCTGGGTGCTCAGAAGTTGCAAGTGCCGCTTCCAAATGTTGGCACTGCCATCAGGGCGAAGGTACATATTTAGATATCTTTTAGGACTGCCCTATCCTCTGCCAGTCTGGGACAAGATCCAAAACATAACCCTGACTTGGGCTCAGACCCTGCTAAATACCAACTACATCTCCGGTATGGCATTATAAGAAGACATTTCAAAAACACATTTCTCAACCCTGCCTAAGCATGTAGACCACTGCTTTGCAAACAAAAGAAATTGAAGATTTAACCCTCCCACTCTGAACCAGCAGTGGTTAATTCAGGAAAAAGTTCTACTAGCAGACCAGGTCATTCTGATTTTTACTGACGGTAGTCTTCAGATATGCATGCTCAGTGTGAATGAATGTTTGTGACAACTTACTTTAGGATTTTTAGTTTTTTTTATATGTCACCGAGTGGATAAGTATGTGTAGGGTGAAATGTATTGTGCTTACTATGGTTGACAACTAATGGAGAAACAAACGCTAAGGATTCATATATAAAGAGAAATGCAGGGCCCAGCATCATGTTTTTTGGGAATTATACTTTATTATGTTTGTTGCGTGGTCTTTGGCGGCCTGACCAAAGTGAATGATCATTGAGCCATCAATAGCATAATTGAGGGCTAACTCTTTCTTTTGTTCTCTTTCTATAACGTTTCTAAGCTGCAGTTTTTAAAAGTGAGTATTTTTTTATGAATTAAAATACAATCTGGGAGATGTTTTCACAAAAAACTTGAGACAGAAAGGAAAGCAGACTTGAACTTTATCTGTATCATTTTCTGGCACCCACTAATGGCTAGGATGGATGTGTATTTGATAGCAGGGACATCCCTAGCCTGGGAACGAACATGCACACCTTAGCCACAGCAGCCCTCTCCTGGCAGTATTTCAATGGGGCGGCCTTCAGTTAGCCGTTAGTGTATACTTTCCACCTATAGCTGGATAGATGATAATCCTTAAGATATGAGGAGAGTTTTGATTTCTGACAAAGCATTCCAGAGATAAATGCAGGATCAGAGGGATGCTTTGAAATTCCCAGGGATACCCCACTGGTAAATGGATACATGAGAAGAACTTCGAGACGAGGGGTCTTTGTGCACAGACTGTTAAGTAGTTGAGACCAAACTGCAGACTGCATCAAAATGCTAAATATGAAACAGAGCATCACATGCAGACAATTTCATGTGTAACTACACAGAAGAGGACCACATAATTGGCACAGCTGTGCCATTCCAGAACACCAGATAACACTGATGATAATTAAAGCTATACTACAGCCTTAACCTAAAGGTGGCCATGCACTGTACAACCCTCGCAAGACACTTGTCTTGCGAGTGCTGTAAAGTAATTTAAAAAACGTACGCTCTGCCCATCTTGGACAGGCAGATTGTACTTGCGATCAAGCTGCATAAAAATTTGTTTTGTGAATAGAATTAAATGGAGTGTATGTTAATGTTCAATAAAGTTACAACAAAACAAGCGTAAACACTGCGATAAGTTGTTACAAGGCATTTTAGCACGGGTACACAATGTAAACCAGTGGGTGGACGTTATGCACAGCAAAACGCATGCCCACGTGTGAACCAGCCCTCATATTGTCTATACCAAACCATTTTCACATTACATAAAATGCTTTAAAACCGAGATTGAGCATTATTTATTTTCTTACATTTTTTTTTAGAAAAGAACTGTTAGTCAGTCTTTTATTACACTCCCCGTTAGGAAGATGTCCTTCACTTAGTGTCACCAGGATGGAAAGTGAAAGAAAATCTGTCCAGGTGGGATACATGGCAATATAAAACTGACAGTGGTTTTAATCCTTCTAAACTTTATCCAAAACAAAATGCAGAGTTTTGCCTGGAGTGCTACCTAAAGCAGAACTCCAGACACAAATGTTATTTCTGGGGCTACCCCAGCACTGCAAGGTTTAACCGTTCATTTTTGTCTAGGCTTAAAAAAAAAAAAAAAAAAAGAAGAAGGTTATACTCACCCGATCCTTGGAGCCAGTCAGCTGTCACAATGCTTCCTTTAGACTCTCTCTTCCTACACTGCAGCGATGGTATGTCCCTAGGCAACCTCACGTCCTATGTAGAAAATGTGTTGACTCGGGAACCTTAGACTGCCGCCGAGGTGGAGGGGCGAGGCATAAGGGAAGCATGGCAGGTAGAGGGGAAGCTGAGGCGGCCCACTTGCTGAGGCCTCGAAAAGGGTACACTGTCTTCCCATGAAGCTAGCCATAGTGGCAGAAAGCGCCTCTTTAGATAGGCAAGAGAAGGGGTGTGCACATGAGGAAGCAATAGACTCCGAGCCCTGCACTGAGAGACTTAGGGCCTTTGGGGAGAGAGCAAAACACCGCCCCTTCTCCCAAAGCCGTTTACTGAAAGTGAGCTGACAAGGCCCCCCTGACCCACTGTACTTTTCCATATGATTTGTTATGTGTGATGGAGACTGTCCCCTCAGAGGGTACTCACAACCATGACCAATGCAGAGAAAAAAAAGAGCCCGCCAGGAGACATCTGAGAATCTCTGTGGTGTACTGCAGGAGGTGGGACGAGAAGTGGCCTAGCCGGTCCGTGCCTGCTCGAGGCAAAAATGGTGCATGCAATGACAGCCCACTGCAACAGAGTCAGGTAAAAGGGGCACCAAATTTGAAGCTCTCGCCTATGATGGCAACACTCCATTTAAAAGTGTTAGAGCCTAGGACCCGCTATTAACTCCAAGAGAGAATGGAACATGAGCACACAGGAAAAGGCACAGGTTTCAGGGATAGGGCTCCACTGGCGGATAACCCATGTTCAGGATCTGTATAACACCTTCTGGCTAACTCACTACATGCTAAGGTGAGCATTAGAAGCAGAATCCATTGCAAAAAACATCACCAACGGCCGGGCCCATATCTTCTCCCAGATCCAGGTAAAGGCCTGCCCAAGGCACAGGCAAACAATCCAGAAAGCTGCAAAAATGGAGCAGCAGTGGGAACGGAAACAGCTAAAACTGAAGAATCCCGAGACAATCCATATAGAGATGTAATCCTCTCTATACAGAAAGACATCAATCACCTAAGGACCTAAAAACTATGCAAAAAAAGGTTATACCGGGGCTTTCCTTGCCAGTGACCAATTACCTTTACATGGAAGCATAATCCATGGACACGGTTTATAAATCCTGTACCGAACGATTAAAAAACTAGTTATTTCTCTTTCCCATTACACCTTTCAGATGACCAGAACAGACTAACACTAACATCACCTAAAGGAAACCTGTCACAAGAGAAATATGAGAGCTACCACTGCTGATCTACTTCTAAAAAAGAAAGCTAACTAACTTTCAAATCTGGAGCTACTAAGCTAAAACAAGTGTGCAGATTAGAAAATTTAGAGAGAAGTCAGATGTCAATATCTGTATACTTGCTCCAGGTCAGTTCCTCAAAATACTGAAAAGGATTAGCATGGCAGCTAGCATTTTCAGGAAAAGAGGTCAGCAATTAAACATTCCAAGCTTTAAGCTTTTCTCACGGCAAGTTACTTAACAGTATGTTTGCAATTTTTCTTAAAAATTGCATATTTACAGTATTTTATTATTGGAATACTTCTAAATTATACTTTTTACAGACATTCTATTCATTTCAGAAGTGTATTTCCCACCCTAATTGCCATCTGAACAAAACTTTTATAACATTATTTATTATTATTGAATAGCATTTTCAATCACAGACTGCGAAAGGGGTTTTTACGGTTCGCGTAGTAAAAACGTGGAATTCCTTTTCACAGGCAGTGGTGTCGGATGATGGCACTTATAAATTCAAGATACTTCTTAATTCTTCTTTCACTACATGTACGAGGATATGAGAAATGTTAGAGCCATATAGATACAGACACACAAACACATGGGTTGAACTGGATGGACCTTTATTCAACCTCACCTACTATGCTACTATATGACGAAAGTAATATTTTTCTAGTTAAAACCACACGATAGCAATCATACCTGTCAAATGATCGGAACTGTACTGAATGTTCAGCAGCAGGGTCACCAAGTGCTCCTAGGAATGTTGGAGGTAACAAAGTTGGGTCAGCAAGGGATTCTTCAGCTGGAGAGCTCACAAGACTCCGGAGAATGTCTTTTACATTAACATTTTTAGTGGTGGGCTGTTCACTATTCCCATCCCCTCCAGTATCATTAGATTTTTTGACCTCTGAAGACAGGGTATGCAATACTTCACTGATGGCATCTGGGCCTGAACTCACAGGATCAGTGCCAGCTTCAGTCTCGTAATTACAACCAGACCCCAAAACTGCTTCTTCACCAATACCAGAGTCTCTTCTTCTTACAGATATGGAGCTTTCCAAATCCTCTGAAGCAGCCTGTGTGGCATTAGGTAGAGCATCTGTAAAAAAGGGTACAGGCCAGATAAATTTAAAAATAAAGTAAGCATATGAACACATTTTGAATTCGTTCTTAGAGTGAATCTAGTCTTTAGCAGCAAAAAATAAATAAAAAAAGCCTAACCACGAGGAAGACTTACTTTGTTGATGGCCCCAATGCCCAACATCAGTAAGGGAATAAATAAGAAATTGGTGACATAACCCAAATCACTGGTGTGCTACTTAAAGTGACAAACTCAGGAGTTAAATTTTTAAAAATGCATTCAATTACCTTAACTATTAACCAGTTGCCGTCCGCCCAGAGAAAAAAAAAAAACGGACGGACGGCTGACACGCATCAGCGTGTTGCCGTCTCCAGACGGCAATTTTCTCCTGCTCGCACACGGGCAGGAAAGACCTGCTCGTTTTAACAGCCGTTTCACATACAAAAGATCAGCGGCTCTATAGCCGCCCCCCTCCTGACCGCCCACCTTCAATCCCGGGATCCGCTGGCCCATCTGCGGCCCGGGACTGGGTCGGGAGGGCGTCAGGAGGAGAAGTGAGATCAGCTCCTTGCTGATCTCCCTCCGGGCTGTAAATGCAGAAGGTGATGTGTATTACATCACTTCCGCATTCACCTGTCAGTCATCTGGCTGCTATAGCAAGAGAGAAGACGCTGATGAAGCAGATCTCTGCGTCCCCAGGTGACATTAGGGGTCCTAGAGACCCCTAATGTCTCCATAAAGAGGACCTGTCAGTGTGCCTTTGCTAATATATAGGGGTATTGCATCATTGAAAAATTAAAAGTCACACATAAAAAAAAAGTAAACCCCCCCCCACATTTTTAAGTCCTCCCCCCTTCGTTTACACACATATAAAACGTAAATACGCGCCCTGTGCACCAGAGCGCAAAAACGACAATTGCGCTACACATTACATATCGCCGCAAACGTCGAAGTGAGAGCAATCATTTTAGGGCCATCAATCGCTGATAACACTAAACTGATGAGCGGTAAAAGTTTTTAAAGCGTCGCCTATGGCCAATTTTGGGTAATGTAGTTTGAGGTTTCGCGCGCGTGCACTATTTTAAGGTTTGACATGTTTGGTGTCTTTTTACCCGACGCGACCGCGTCTTTTATATTTTACCAAAAAATTGGGTAATAAATGTTTTAGAATTTATTAGGAGAAACAGGTTTGTTTTTTTACATTTTCTGTAATTTTTCCTTAATATATTAAAAAATAAAAACCCCAGTGGTATATAAATACCACCAAAAGAAAGCTCTATCTGTCCCCAAAAAAGGGTATAAAATTAATTTCAGTACAGCGTTGCATGATGGAATAAATGTCAGTCAAAGTACCGCAGCGCTGAATACTGAAAAATGGCATGGGTGGGAAGGGTGTTAACCACTTGAAGTCCGCGGTGTTAAACAAAAATGTATCTTATTTGTGTATCACTCGGCTGTAGATCCTCAAATCATCGCTGAATTTGTGATGACACTGTCCTTCCTTCTGGCGGGTGGCCAATTTTGTTACCCATGGTCCCTGTGTGAGTTGTAAAGTAGCCACCACTCCAAGCTCGATCCTGTGATGGACTACAATGTCAAGTTTAGTTTACCTATATGTATTGAGATTGTAGTCCATCAAAGCAGCAAGTTTGGAGAGGTGGCTACTTTACAACAGGCACAAAAACCATGGGGAACACAAGTACAAAAACCATGGGGAACACAGCTGTAGATTTGAGGATCTACAGCTGAGCGATGCACAAAGATACATTTTTGTTAATAGTTAAAGGTACTTGAATGTGTTTTTAAGATGAAACGCCTGTGTAGATTGTCGCTTTAATACAGCACACAAAGATAATCTAAAATGGACACACACAATCTGAAATAAGAGAAAAAAAAAAATCCCCCAATCCCAGCTACCAATTTAATATAAAGTGTTAAGATTAGACTCAGTGGTCTTCGGTCTTCATCCACTGCTTACAAAGCATCTCCTTTGTAATGAACAAATGACAAAATAAAGGATCAAGTCAGTATAACTTTTATATTTGCAAAAAGGCAAAAAACAAGCAAATATTCTCACTCAAGGTTCTGCTTTAAAGTATAAAATCAAATGCCAATGAAGTAACAATTGGAATCAGGCCAGAATACACTGCAACTGAACTTTACCCATTTGCAAATAAATTAGGATTAGGTAATGAATAAGTATGCAAAATTAAACGGCAAGAGTACCCCCTTTCAATGGAGGTACAGCATACGATACCTGGTCCAAGAAGTTAAAGGGTGAACAAGTAATCTATGGCATTGGGAATGTTAAATGGATTTCACAGGCGAACATGACTGTCCCTTAAATAAAAACAGGTCTGTAAAACCTCTAACTATAAAAATGTTCAGTGCAAAGGGTTCTGTAGGATTTGCTACATATTAGATAACCAGGGCTCAATTTCCAAATTTGGGTCTCCAAGTACCGGTCCGCAGACCAACTCCGGCCCGCGAGCTGGTACTATGTGGCCCACAGCCAGCTGACATGTCAGGCACACAGTCGCAGACCGGGTACCTGACTTGCAGGAGCAGCTCCACGGTCTGCATCTGCGTCGGATGCAGACCGAAGAGCAGCTCCTATCAGCTCTGGCTTCCTTTGGACGGAGCTCCGGCCGAAAGAATGTATACGAGCAGCATCGATGCCTGGTTATCTGGGGGTGATAGTGAGGTCTGCTGCAGACCTCACTAATCACTCACAGATAAACTAGGGCTTGATCCTGCTCACAGCCTCCTCCCGGCAAAGACGTGAATAGGTGAGGGGGCTAGGGGGGAAGGGGTTGAGTGTATTATAATTTTGTGTCTTTGGAGAACTTTAGGTCCCCCTCTGCTGATTGGCAGCAGCAGAGGGCGGGTGTAATAGCTAGTTTGCTATTGTAAAGTGAAATAGCCTATAGGAATCTAGCTATGCATTCCTACGGTGTTTTGTTTTTTTTTCTGACTGACTGAGGCCTGCGGCCCCCGATGTCAGAAAAAAAAAAAGCAGCGAAATGTTTACTCTGCTCGATCGAGCAAAGTAAACCTTTCCAGGAGAAAATGATTCTCTCCCGGCGGCCGGGAGCCGTTAGGCGACCCCTGGCAAATCATCATTCGACCCCGACGGGGTCGCGACCCACAGGTTGAGAACCGCTGAGCTAAAATGAGGAACGGACAAAGATATGCAAGAAACAAACAAATACCCTTATCTGCTGTAATATCCAAAATAAGTCAAAAAAACAGTATGTATTGTGAACAAACAAGCTGGTTAAGCATTTTAGAAAGATCATTGTATGCCTAAAGATTTGTATGGCTATAACTACCTGAGGTTCCAGTGTCAGCACTGCCATTTTCCACATGCTCGGAAGGGGTGCTGGTATGAAGCGGCTTCCTCTCATTTTGAGGCTCCAGGATGTCCCGATATTTAGATACCATAAGCACAGAGATAAAGTAGACAACAGCCAGTGCTAGAAACTGGGCCTGCTTACTGTCCTCCTATACCATAAAAGGAGGAGTTACATGTTAATATTCAGGTTTGTAAATGTTTATAGTAAACACTACACAAGACTTTTCATTTAATTAAGTTTTTACAGAGTTTGTATGAAAACAACTATACAATAAATACATTCGATTACCTTTCACACCTATTACAGTGCGTTCTCTTTCTTCCATAGCATAATTAAGAAAGTACATTTGAATAAAGACATTATATTGTTAAAGATGAACTAAATAGTTAAAGTGGAACTCCAGGAAAACAGCTACATACACGACAGAACACATACTGTACATGTTTAGGCCTTGTTCACACCATATTCCGATCATCTCCAGACCATAACAGTTTGTTCCCGGGCCAAAAAAGCATCCCAAAGTATCCCTATGGTATTTCTGGGCTCTGTTCACACTAGTGCAGTCCAAAAACAAATACTGTTCATCTCATTTTCTCATGTCTGGAATGCACTGAAACGCATCGAAAACACAAAAACTCATGCGGACACACCTTAAAGCCCATTTTGATCTTTTAAAAAAACCCGCTCCGGAACATGGAAAAAAATCACGGTAAAAACGTGGCAAAAAACACAATGCACCAAGTTCCAGATCTGGTGCAGAAAATGGTGTGAACCTGGCTTTACTATTTTACAAACAAAATTATTTATTAATTCCGTCTATTATTGTGACCTAAAAACACCTACCACACTGCATAGTCACGCAGACAATTGTTATGGTTCAGCAAGTCAGCTTCCTATGTTACCTCTCTGCCTTCCGTCTGCTCATTATGCAATGAGCCATTATCAGCTCTGTGATCGATGAGCTTACTAGGGCTGCAACTAATGATTTTCATAAATCGATTAGTTGGCCGATTATTTTTTCAATTAAATCGGATTAAAAAAAAAAAAATCCTCCTTAATTTACCGTGCGTTCCAGTGCGGGTGATCACATTGTGGGTGGGAGGCACATTTGGGGTGCCATTGCAATGAATGGCACTGCAACGCACCTCCTTCAGCAGATTTTGCCAGGCCGAAACTTACCTTTTTCCCACCTTTTATAATTTTGGGGGTTTTTGTTAACAATTGCATTGTAAGCACATGGTGCTTGAATAGCTTCAGGCAGGGAATGACAGCTGCTCGTGACAAGATTCCACAGATGGCAGCTGAATGTAAATACAGCAGGTAGTGGACTAGTGCAATAGCCAGCCTGCGATTGGCCATTTCAGATTGCAATAACCAATAGCAGTCTGGCTACTGCACCCGCCCACTGCTTGCTGTGTCCTCCTTCCAGCGTGGAGGAGAGCGCTAAACGATCCAACCAACTAAATCGGCAATGAGAATAGTTGATAACTGTTCTCATAATTGATTAATCGACTAGTTGGTTGCTGACCCAGGAAGAGAAAAAGCTAAAAACTTAGAAACAGAGCTTCCGGGATGGCAGCTTACAGAAAGACAATCAGGCCTTCATAACTTTAATGCAATAGATTTGGAAACATAATAAAAAAGGTAAAAGTCTAAGAAAACAGGATTTTTGTACTTGCAATAACATCTTTATCTTCATTAGGGGATACAGGGTTTATTCTAAGACAAGAGATTTATACTGCTGCCTAGAGGAGAATGGACCATAGCAACAAAGCTGTTAGCCAGATATAACCCCTCACTCCCATTAAGCTTCAGTTTTTATGGAAAAGCAGTGGCAGGATCGGATAATAAAAACAGAGAAGTGTACCTGTAAGGATTTTACAGAGAGTACAAAAATCCGGTTTTCTTTACTATTAGGAGACAAGTGGGTTAATTTTGAGACAAGTGGGACTTCCAAAAGCAGTCCAACTGCAGGGCGGACAACACAGCAAATGAAGCACTAACAAGCCCTTCCAAGCAACAGTGTACAACTGGGGCAGCTCAAAGAACTGCCCATAGGATCTTACATCCAAAGCTGGTATCAAAAGAGGCCTGAACATCTACCCGGTAGAACTCCCTGAACGTGTGAACAGAAAACAGAAGAGTAAGCAACTTAGAGGATACATGTCATGCAATCCCAAACTGGCTGACAGATTGTATTACGATTTGTATATAAAATTATATATTGTATGAAGAGATTAAGGGATGCCAATCTTACGGTCCACAGACATTAGATGGATCAAGCAGTAAGGTCTACAATGCTCCGGCAAATACAGACAATCAAATCTTTTCAGGAGGTAATAGCAAACAAAGCTGTCACTGTCCTATCATTGTCCCCACCCTCTACAACAGGGGTGGGCAACTCTGGCCCTCCAGCTGTTTTGGAATGAGAAGTCCCGTGAGGCAAGACTGACAGTTACAGGCATGAGGCAGAAGCACGTTGGAGTTTTGTAGTAAAAGTACAGCTGGAGGGCTGCAGTTGCCGACCCCTGCTTTACAAGCTGGTGCCACACTCTAAAGAAAAGAAAATGCCCTGGCGGCTGGCAAAAATATACAAGGGTGGTCAGTTTGCATCTGCATATTGTTGTATAGCCAGTTTACAAATAAAAAAAGAAAATGAAGAACAATATGTTAAAGTAAATAAACTTTCACTGATAGGTCTTCCCTCTAACACAAACATAAGAAACACATATTGAAGGTTAATGCAGAACTCGGGTATTGATCTTCCACTCACCACATCTCTGAAGACCACAGCTCGCAATCTGTTTATATCCATGTCTTGTAGAAGCCTGTCATAGTCTCGGACTGGAAAAATTCCTCCTGTCAGTACGTCAATTGGACTCTGAAAACATATTAAAAGAAAAAAAAAAAAAAAACACACACACAATAGTGGTGTTAATTTTACTGACACTCCCTACCAATTCAGCTTTAATGTACAAGCACCATAAGTAACATCAAATCGCAGTTTAGCCTTCCACCCCAGTCAGGTAAATAGATTTTAATTGAAGTGTCACTTGGTACAAAAACTGCGATTGCAGGACATATATTTTGAGATAAGTCAGCTCCCCATCAAAAGCACGCACTGAAGCTCTCCATATACTTGTGTGTGGATATGAGGCATGATCAGACTACAAAATCTCTTGCTTAAGAAACATTGTTTTCCACATAAGCATGCATGCTCAGCAAGTCATAATGTTTTGCTTGTGAGAGGAATTTTCTGTGTTTGTGTGTATGCACAGTAGAGTGCTAGAATTTCTATTAAAAGAAAAAATACTATAAATCCTCAATAGGCGCCCATTTACACCACTGCGATTGTGTGGCTGTATGCACAATGACACAATGTATGCCTTTATTTTAAGTGGGGCTCAAAGTAGAAGAAATCACTTTTGCGCCATGTCTTTTTTACCACGTTACAACACCAACACACAACCCAAACGCATCACACAATGCTTGCCGCGGAACCCGTGCAAAATCACAAGGCCCTAAAAGTGGTCATTTTGAATCCATCACAAGCCTGCTTTATCTCTGTGACTTGGTGATTAGTACTAACGCCTTGCAGAGCCTGAATTCCCTGTAAATTAATTCCAAGTACAGTATCTGCATGGGCGTAATATGTCCTTCCTACATTTGTGTGGATTTACTCTAGGTGTTCAGTTTCCTCACACAAAATGACTATAAAAGCAAGCTGCCAATTTATTCTAATGATTAGTTCACAATACTTCTAGTATTTTGGTTTGCTCAACATGGGGTTTTATGGCTACGCAAGTTTCTGTGATCAATGAACTCTCAGAGCACACATAGTCCTTTTTTGTTTGGCCCTTAATGAGAAACACACAGTACTGTGCCATGCCTTGCACACAGACATTACCTTTGCAGTAGACTTTGCTGTTCCCACCAGGCCATGAATTGCCTTCTGGTTTTTCACATTTTCTCCTGTGGATTTTAATTGCAAGTGCTGCTGACACTCCAGACAATTTCTAACAGCAACAGCACACACTAAAATAAAAGGGGGGGAAAAAAAAAAAACATTCATACTCTGGTTACACGAAGCCTCCAAATAACTTATGACTTACAATAAAAAAGACAAGCAGTCTACGTTTTCCACTAACTTTAATAGGCGGCAAAACAAAAAGTATATCATTTTAATAGACTGGTTTATGCAAATAAGTTTTAACAACATGCATGGAAAATTAGGTAAAAGGTTTCTAGCAATCAGAGAAAAATTGATAGGGTGATAAGTCGTCAAGGATATTTACAGACACAGGGATGGCTTTTGGTTTAAAAATAATAAAAGGAAAAAACATATATTGTAACTTTTGGTGCCTCATTGAGCCTGACAAAGCAAGAGGCTGCAAAAGAAATACAACATACATATCATCCAGTATCCCAATGTTTGTACAGGTTAAAAGACTTTTTAAAAACAATACAAATTACTGTGAACAGAATTATGCCGGACTTTAAAAAGGTACTAATACACTATTAAAACAAATTTGACATAAGTATAAAAGTTTTATACCGGTATATCAATAATATGCACATATGTTAAGTGACAAGTCAAGTGTATACTGTTAAAAAGTATTTTCAAGTGCAGACGAATACGTTATAAGCCTCAGCAATAATTAACCACCAAAACCTTTTGTTGGGCACAGATCCTTGCCAATGCTACCGTAGATTCCAGGATGGCCGAGATCCACTGGTGGATGCATAATTGAAGGTTAAAGCTCTTCTGACGAATCTTCAATAGATAGCTATGGACTTACATTTGGGAAAAATTAGCCAAGATCTTAATCTGGGGTCCAATTTTGTCCCTTGGGTCTTCCTTTATACAATATATCTCTATGTCCACCACAAAGGGAATATAATGATGCAGGCTAAAGGCTTACAATGTATTCATCTGCAGTTAAAAAGACGTTTTAACAGTATACACTTGATTTACCCGAGGGTCTCCTGAGGAAGCAGAACATGAAATAGTTCTGTGAAATGCACCGAGTGTACTGTATATCCCTGGTACTGGGAGCAACAGCTCTTCAACTTTGTTGTCCAAAAACAAACTGTATGTAAATGGTTGCTACTTAACTTACAGACCCTAAAAGATAAAAGTACAATAATTATTGCTGGCCCAAATGTGGGACAAACTCTCAGGGGAGTTGACTTGTCACTTAACATATATGCATACTTTTGATGCATAAAACTTGTATACATTTGTAAAGTTTGTATTAATAAAGTGAATGAATAAATGTGTTTTTAGAACCTTTAAAGTCTGGCATAATTCTAGTCAAAATCATTTTAATGAATAAATATCCTGATGTAGTACCCAGCTGAATCAGAAAATATTTGAGTTGGGTTTTAAAAACTAGAGAGAGCGACAGCAAGCGAGAGAATATTGCCAAAAGTATTGGGGCACCCCCTCCAAATCATGGAGGTGTTCCAATCACCTCCATGGCCACAGGTGTATAAAATCCTGCACCCCGGCATGCAGACGCTTCTACAAACATTTGTAAAAGAATGGGTCGCTCTCAGGAGCTCAGTGAATTCAAGCGTGGTACCGTGATAGGTCGCCACCTGTGCAATAAGTCCATCCGTGACATTTCCTTGCTACTAAATATTCCACGGTAAGTGGTATTATAACAAAGTGGAAGCAACTGGGATCAAAACAGCAACTCAGCCACGAAGTGGTTGGCCACATAAAATGACAGAGCGGGGCCAGCGCATGCTGAAGCGCACAGAAGTCGCCAACTGTCTGCACAGTCAATAGCTACAGACCTCCAAACTTTGTGTGGCCTTCAGATTGGCACAACAGTGAGTAGAGCTTCATGGAATGGGTTTCCATGGCCGAGCAGCTGCATCCAAGCCTTACATCACCAGGTGCAATGCAAAGCGTCAGATGCAGTGGTGTAAAGCACGCCGCCACTTGGATTCTAGAGAAGTGGAGACATGTTCTCTGGAGTGACAAATCACGCTTCTCTGTCTGGCAATCCGATGGACGTGTCTGGGTTTGGCGGTTGCAAGGAGAACGGTACTTGCCTGACTGCATTGTGCCTAGTGTAAAGTTTGGTGGAGGGGGGATTATGGTGTGTGGTTGTTTTTCCCATAGACACATTCCTAAACCTTGTGGACGCCTTCCCAGAAGAGATAAAGCTGTTATAGCTGCACAGGGCGGGCCAACTCAATATTGAACCCTACGGACTAAGACTGGGATGCCATTAAAGTACACGCACTTGAAAAGGCAGGCGTCCCAATACTTTTGGCAATATAGGATAGATAGATAGATAGATAGATAGATAGATAGAATACTTTTTGCTGATCTTACCTAATCGAAGGCACTGCCGTAAGATGCCCCCAGATGACATGTTTTTTTCAGCTTCAATATCTGTAAAGCCCATTGAACTTGCAAAAATAAGGACATCTACAAGACTTATTGCTCTCTGAAGGAATGTTATAGCTGTTTCTATAGAAAGACCTTGGGAAGGTTCAATATTTTCCAGTTCATGCTGAAACAAGAAAAATAAATCCAAAAACAGCTTTTTATGGATCAATGGTTTTACTTGCAACAGAAATTCTTGACTGCCCCAAGAAAGGAGAAAATACAATATACAATAAATAGCTGGGCAATAAATGCAGACAAAATTAAAAAGGACATGTACCAAAATGAATGCAATGGTAGACCCTAACCAGTGGATCTGAAGATGCATGCAGCTTTTGGCTTCTTCTAATGTGGCTTCAAGCAGCCTCTTACCATGAAGAAAATAGGGGATTATCTGAATAGCTGCATCATTATACACTTCCCCCATTCAAGAAACTAAGCGGTTGTTTCCTAATTTGTATATAAATGAAACAAAGGGGGTGATTTACTAACCTAAACACACACACGCACCAGGTGTGTGTGATTTTCACACAGCAAAACGTATTTATCAACCAAAAAGTCTCTAAAAGCATATTTCCACTAATGCCATATATGGAAAAATCATGCACATGATGCATATATAATGCTGCTTCACAGTTTAGACAAAAATGGTTAGCTCATGCATTTACATTCCTGCATTCATCAACGCAAGCAACATAACATAGAGCTAATTTACACCACATTACCTTGCAATTCATTGCAGGGCTTTGCACAACACACCTGCTGGGTGTGTACACACTACAAAGGTGTTTCGATTCCTCCCATAGATCATGCTGGGAGGGAACACACTACAGAGGTGTATACACGTTCGTGGTGTGTTTAAAAGGTTAGTAAATCAACCCCAAAATGTTAAATGTTAAGCAGCACTACTTTTCATAATTAGTGCAGATTGCCAACACTTCTCCATAAGAGCTGACAAAGGTTAATCCTTTTAAAACCTTTTTAAAAAGGCCCTATTCCAAAGTCCCAGAATTCTAGCAGAATTTAACAATCTGGCTAAAAAAAACCTACCGCTATCCAAAAAAGGCTGCATTTTAGTTTTGCTTTACAAAAGCACTAAATTAGGTAAAGTCATATAAGAAACATTACATGGTTGCTTACCCATAGCAGCATTATGATTTCAGCACACACCCTGGACATAGAACTTAACCTCTGTAAACTTAAGTGATTTACTGGGAAAAACCATTAAAAATTACCACTTCTTCCCCATGTAGCCAGAATCATCTATAGGTACCTATGAGATAGAGCACCCTCTGGTTGTAACCCAAGGATTTTATTTGTCTACTTAAACAGAATTCTGTCAAACTGATAAAAAATGTATTAACAGGAGCTACAGCTATCACCAAATAAAACTAATCAATACTTCTGTTGTCTTTGCTATATGTTTTTTCATCATCGTAAACTCTCCTACATCACACATTTGTTTAAAGTGCCTCTTTTCATAATAATTGACAGTTAAAAACAGCAATATAAAACCCACAATTGCTAACTTTTTTTTAGGGTGTGGGCTTTTGGGCTGGTATCCTCATCTTGGTTTCAGAACCTAGCGAGTCAGTAATCTGGAGCAAGCATACAGTCAGTAAAGCCTGAAAATCTGGACTATACTTTTTGTTAGTCAGTGGACAGTGAAACCAAATCTCAGGTTCCTAGCTGGTCAGCTGGGAGATACAAAAGACTATTGGCAAAGAAGAACTTCATAAAAGGGCATAAAAACATATTTCTGTTGTTAAAAGTATATTTTCCAAAAATATAAAGTGTTCCCTTTATTTTCATCAAATGTAATTTTTTTTTTAACATATTTGTAAATGCTTGTCGTTTCATATATTCATAAAAGTACCTTTGTAAATTCTCCCTCTATTGGCTTTATATATTGTCAGACAACTGCACTTTTCTCTTTAATCTATGGCCAACACTTGTTGGCTAGAGAATTTAATGGCTGGTTTGATGTTTATGGCCAGTTGTCATTGTTTTTTCCTTAGAGATTAGCCACTATTGTGGCTATAGTCCCTTTCTATAGACTATACGTGCACATTTACCAGTGTGGAAATGAAAATGTATGGGAAAAACCTTTGTAGCAAAGATCAATTGGTGGTTGCCTGCACATCCAAGTGCCAGCTAAAAAGTTTGTAGGGAGCTTTAGCTCAACAACTTCAGAAGAACAGTTTAAAAAAAGGTAAGCAATCTTACTACACTGTTCTTAACCAGTTTGGGCAGACTGGCACATTTGGAATGAGGGAAGAAAAAAAAATAGGGACAAAAATAGCAAAATTACTAAGCATCATAAAGAAGGAAAAGAAGGAAACAGGACTTTAATATATTAGCATATTTAATGAAAAGATGATGGCTACACCAATGTACATTCTTAATTTAGCACCATCATTAGAACAAATGGTAAAAGTTTGACACATTAAAAAAAAAAAAAAATTATTCGCCATAAAATCCTTTTCTCTGCGTTTATTGAAGGACACCGCTGAGACCTTCATCTTGTGTGAGGGAGCGGTGTCCTTCAATAAAAGCTAAGGAAAGAATTTTACAGTGAGTACAAGCAAAATGTTTATTCTATTCATTGAAGGAATCAGTTAAGATCTTCATCCTGTAATGAGGGGACATCCCAAAGCAGTGTGAACCAGGGGGTGAGAAACCAAACAAAAGAACAGGAAAAAAAAAAAAGAAAAAACACGGGATGGAGGTATGAGCCACCAGCAGGGGCTGCCCCTAGGCAGGCTACTCCTGCAGGTGGCGATATAAGCCATCAGTACAAGATGGAGAGCTAAATTATGTCCATCAATGAACGGAAGAGAAACTAAATTTTGCCCAACACATTCACATACTCATGTAAAAAAAAAAAAAGGTATTTATCTTCCCTTAAACCATATTGTTCCTACAAACATTTCATACTATAGTCTGATCAAGGTATAAAAAAAGAAGGCTATGCTTACAGTAGTAGAGGTCGCAGCAGAGAGTAATGGTAATATACCACCACAAGCCATGATCATGTTGTCTGTTATTTGAGATATAAGGTGGATTGTATTGTGTACAAAAATGACATTATCGCTGCTGTTCACAAAGTCCATTATAGTCTTTGTTGAGTGGCTGTAACAAAGAAATACAAAATTAGTCTCATAGTAATTATTAATGCTGTGAATATAATTTAATACGGATTCTTTAATAAATGATAAGCGGATAATCGTTACTGTACCAAGATACTAACATTTGGATACCTCAATAGAAGGTGGTGCTACAACTGGAGCCCTTTATCCCCCTGTGTGCCTTGGCTAAAATTTATCAAACACATTTAGCAGTTGCCCTTGGCCTTATTTACCAGTGCATTCTGGTTGCCAATATTAACCAAGCCTCCAATGCTGTACCAAGAGAGTGAAATTTGGCTGGCCTATTTAAAAACTATTGGACCATTGCATTTAGTAAGCAATGTCTTATGAGATAGGAAAAAGAGGTTCATAGCCTATGGCCTTGCTTGTGTGATATGCACAGCCAAGATTACAAAAGACATGCATACAAACAAGTTGTTTAAAATAACAAAAATACAAACAGAAAAAGTGCTCCATTGATCCAGGAGCTATTTCTAGTCAGCAGATGAACCCCAAGAATATGGACACTTAATACATTTTAGGCAAAAAGAACCTGCAATACTGAAAGCAAGACAGAGTAAGCAATTTTCTTTTAAATCAGCAAGAGATTTAAGATTTGTGAAGTTCATCTTCCAGCAGGACAGTGAACCTGAATGCATATCATCTATAAGGACAGAAACCATGTTCTTGAGCTTAAGAGAAATGCCAGGAGACAGGTCACCTGAGACGACTCCTGAGAGCTAGAAGCAGTGCCTTCCCATTATTCCTCCCCTGGCAGTGCCAATGCAGAGAAAGGGAGAGTCACAGGGGGTGATTGAGGGAGCAGGTCTGCTTGCAGCCTCTGCGGAATGTAGTTCTAAAGATGTCAACCATTTTCCCCATGAATTCAGCCATAACAGCATTAAACTTCTCTTTGGACAATAAGTCAGAGAAGGGCACTCTAGAGGGTGCAGAGACGGATCCTGATGCGTGGAGAGAAGGGGACCGGGAGCAAAGCATGGGGCTAGTACAGATAGTGTCCCCATGGGGCTAGTACAGAAACGTTGTCAGGTTGTGTGGCACCTGCATCCCCCACCAAGACATCTCCACGTCTATGATCCACTATATGTGCCACTGTATAGAAGGTGATCCAGAAGCATTCGGTGCACACACAGTTTTCGGTCTGTGCAGATCTGCAGCAGAAGCATCTGTTCAGTCAGAGCGCAAGCCAGAGATAAAAGATGGGGGTACATGTGCAGTACAGAACCAAGGTGGGAGGCTGCGCAGATGCGTTCCGTAGCCACTAGGTTTTAATGGAACTGAACCGGCAACAAATGAACAATTTGAGGCTTAGAAGTGTGACAAAAAAAAGTCACACCAGAACCACAGATTTAATCATATAGGGGACTAGTGCCATCACCTAGGCACCTTGCGGAGGGGGTGGCAATATGACTGCTGCTTACCTCTTTGGCTTTGGGTCCTCACCATGGATGCAGCAGCAGTAATGGGAGTCATGCCATCCAAACTTTGTCCAGTGGTTGGGCATGCCCGCTAGGGCGGATTTTAGGGTCAGGGCACATGGATCACTGCCCTGACCTGTAGAGCACCCTGCAGCTACCCCACATGCTACACAAGTGACAAAGGAAGTCGTCAAACACAGGGTCCAGTGACTAAGCACATAAAAGGCCAGCCATGTGTCTTTTGTCTGGCAGGTTATGAGCACAGTCTGCAAAGGAGAAAAACAATCGGATAGCTGCTGGAAGCGACGTATGGCTTGGAGCAGTATATAGGGATTTTTCTAGGAGGAGAAAACAACTTAAAAAATAGCACAAAAAAAATTTACTTCTCTCAGGAGCCGAGAGAAGGAACCCATCACCTAAGGACATTAGCAAAAACCTGAAGACAGTCTGGGAGTGGGATGGGTTATGCAGGGCTATCCTGCAGCTTTGATGGATTTCCCAGTGTCCATCATCTGAAGGTAGCAGCAGAACCCAGTCCTGTGATGTTCTATCAAGAAAACATACTGGCATTCCTTCCTTACAAAGAATGCATATATGAAAGTATTAAACTGTTGCTTGGATCTCAATATAGATACCTGTGCATGGGTCAAATGTAAATATCCAAATGCAAACTAAACCTGCAACATGTTCCCATGTACACGCACACCAGTACAGATTGATGCAATTTAGTCAGTCAGTCAGTACCAGTCCCATAGGGATCCACTAAAAGATTATTGTTAAAGTATTTGGCAGGTAGTTAAAATAATAGGTGTCCAACATACTGACAAATATGCATATATAATTTTCCATACAGACTACAAAAAGCATACCTTCGCCACATTTGGATATCAGTTTCTATCGAAAATAAAAGGTCTGTAAGTAGACGCTGATGCATCATTGACCATTTAAACTCTGGAATACGAAACATTGTAGATCTTGAATCTCTTCTCTGGCTATCAGGGGAAGTCGCTCGTTCCGGCTCATGTCCTGCTGGCTGTTTAACAGGCTCCTGAAAGGTAACACAATGTGATTAGCATACTAAAACGGGGGGGCGGGGGGCAGTGCCATTCAAATAAATAGCAACAACGCACCAGGTGCACAGTACACCATGCTAGGTGCATTGTGTCATGGTGTGATCTACACACATGGTAACGGTGCACAGTGCTCTGGTGTGAATAGGCCTTTAAAAAGTACCATCTTGTCTTGAATTGTATTGTAACTGTAATGTCTTCCTTATATTGTAAAGCGCTGCGCAAACTGTTGGCGCTATATAAATACTATGTAATAATAATAATTACATTTTTGTTTTTTATATACATCTACCTTGAGTTGGGCATTATTTGGAAGCATATATCCAAGCACAGTATGCAGTGGTCTAATTAAAGGACCAGTACATGTATAATATTTGATTGTTTTCCTGATCCAAGCTAAATAATCTGTCCTTTGAGAGAATCCGCTGATAAGATCTCACCACTTACATTCTCAGCTTTACACACCTGCTGCAACACCTACTAGGGGGTTTCATTTTTCCTGTTAGATTCTCCTAACTCCTATTAAATCATGAAAAGGGAAGCGAGAACCCCAGCACTCTAGTAGGAAGAGAACCTGGACTATACCAGTGAGATTTATTCACTGGAGTCTACCAAGAAGGCAGCAGATGGCAGAACAGCACCCTACCCTTTAGCTCAAATAGCACTTTTGGATGGAATGACCCTTCAAAATGGAAAAAGTAAAACCAGTTCATTTACTCTCATCACTAAGCAGCGCACCGGTTCTTGTAACTAAATTTCTGACCAGTGAACAGTGTTGACTATGAACTGACAAACTATTAACATAGGCGTGCAAAGCACAAATCTGACCTGAAATTAGAAACAATCATGAAATCATGCGTATTCATACACAATGTTCGCAACAGGTGTTCTTAAGTATTAAAAGTAAATACCTCATGTACCACTTTCAGAGGTTGATCTGATTCACCGTTTGAACTGGCTTTCAGTTCTAAATTTTCTGTATCAGAAGCAATACTTGACACATCAAGCTTGGCAATTTTTTTATCAAACGTCTGAGCATCCAATGTGCTGTTTTTTTGATCCCCATTATCATGAGAGTTATGCGTGCTGCTGGAAACGGCACCTTCTTCTACAGTTACTTCAGCAGAGTCAACATTTTCCTCAAGCACAGGTGTTGCTTCATTGACCTCTTGAGTGGCACTGTCCTGTGGTGCTGTGTCTGTAGCAACAATGCTGGAAGGTGCATTTAAAGTGTCAGAAGTATCTGCACACTCCAATTGTGCTCTTTCTACTTTACTACTATTTTCTATGCAGGTTTCCTTCTCCTGTGCTTCCAAAATTTCACTCTGTACTGAAAGTTCAGCCTTCAGTGCCAAATCTGGACTGTCTACTAAAGGGACATCTTCATTTGATTTTCTTTCCACATCATCCAGTCCTTTTGTTAAACTCTCTGTAGAAGCAACTTGATCAGTCTCATTACTATTAGCCCCTACATCTTCACTGTCATTTGAAATGGAGACCACATTACATGTAGGTTCTTCTGTGCCACTACCTAGTTCCTCTACATGAACCTCATTTTGGCTTTCTTTTATCTCAATATCTGCAAAATCTTCACCATCTGCTTGTTGTTGCATATTTTCTTCTGTAGGGGAATTGTTATCTTCCCCTTCACTTCTCTCTTCTGTTTCTACAGTTGCACAAGATGGTGGATTATCTACATTTGATGGTACATCTGTAAGTTCCAGAGGTGAAGCCTGCGGCCTAGTCTCAAATGTTCTGCTGCTCCCAGAAACTGTGCGTATAGGGCTTGAGGGTCCTGGTCCTATTTCACAATCAACTTGACCTTCATATTCTCTGAAAGCCTGAGCCAAGCTCTCCTTATGCATTTCAAACGTGACCTAAAAAAATGATTTTTAAAAATACATTTTATTAAGGTTTTTGTTACATAATTTGAGCATAAAGTCATTGGTACAGTGGGCAGACTAAAAGACCTGCAATTTTAATAATACAGCACAAAGCGTAATAACATGCATAACCAGCATTCATCAGCTCATCTTCCCCACTTATTGCATCACGTCGAAAGGCAGTATTCACCAATGTGAACTTCAATTACATTTTTCAACCAAATAAATCCAAATCGGCTGGTGGACTATCTACCTTATATTTAGAAAATGCACTTTAAGGCAGTCACACAATGTTCCTTCTCCTCTAATGGCGAAAAAAACAAAAAAGGTCTAACATGGTTTAGTAGAATGGTCTCGAGTCTTCATTGTGCTTGGGTTTATAGCAAAATTAAAGATCACGGGGGCTTCAATTCTTTTTTTGGGGGAAAGGCGACATTGATTTTAGCAACAATCAAAACCTACCCTTTACCAAAGTACCCAAAACACCAAACGTTCACGTTTGTCCACATTAAAGCTGGCCACAGACCTTACAACCATCGCAAGACTTTTGTCTTGCGATGGTTGTAAGGTAATTAAAAAAACGTACAATCTGCCCATCTTGGACAGGTAGATCGTACTTGCGATAATCGCAAGCCCACCCCACTTAGGGGCGGGCTTCCAATGACCGCAATGCTGATCGGGCAGTGTGCGCTTGCGCACACTGGCCCGTGCAGCATTTATCTTACGAACATGCCATACACCCGCCGACAATCGTACGATTCTCGGCGGGGTTCCCAAGATATTCTAAAATAAAAGTAGAAACGGTTGCACGCCTTCCACACACCTTGCGATAATCGTACGATCGCTGGATTTCCCGCGATTATCATACAATTATCGCAAGGTGTGTGGGCACCTTAAGGCTGCTAAATCTCGTTTGTCCACATTAAGACTGCTAAATCTCAAGACAAACTTGCAATGCAATAAAATGAGGGAAAAAATGTATATATTCTTTAACTCTATTAAGCAGCACTTTCTATATTAAATTTTTATAGATATCTCACCATCTAAAATCTAAATAGCTATAACTTTAAAATATGCAAAGTATGCCACAAGTGAAATTGAGGTGCAGTGTCATCTCTGGGTATTTGTAAATGGTAAGTCAGTACACAAACCAAGAATATTCCTGAATGTACGTACATTTGCATATGTAATGAAAAGATTCCACACCACAATTAATAACTAAACTTGGTTTTAAATTGGCCAGCTAAAAGATCATTAATCTTTACGGTCACTGGAAAGTTGATCCATATCTATAAATTATGGATACGATTTTTCACAGTACTAACTCCTGCGCTTTTAGCTTAAAAACATTCAACAAGCAAAATGGGTACCAGTTTATATGAACACAGTAGATTACAAAATAAATACAATTTTATCACATTATAACAGCAAAACAAAAATATTCTCATCTCATCTTTATATGGGATTTGATTTTGTGTTTAGAAAGCTAATTTTTCATCAGAAGAAATGTCATGATACACTTATCTTAAAGAAAGGACACTATCTGCAAAAATTTGGGTCCAGTTTGTTAATACAGTATAACAAAACACTCTAAAGGAAAATCAGTTAAACTATTAGGAATACAATGTACTGATCATGATTACTTGTATGGTTTTTGGTGCAGCCATATTTGTTAATCTGTGTGAATAAGCATTTGCATAAAAAAAAAAAAATAGGCATGGTTTGTTATTAATGTGGCTTTTGTATGTATTGCTCTGAACGGCAAGCCAGTTTTACTATGCCTAGATATGTCCAGTGCCCTGCTACTTCATCCTGACCATAAAAAAAAAGAAAAAAAAGAAAAAGAACAGACGTATGTGTCAATATCCAAACAGCAGCAAGTGAAATAAACTACATTTTTCAAGCAGTGTAGTTCAAACTTGGGTTTTAAGATGACACAAATTATTTTACTTATTTATACACAGTAAAATGCTTCATACTAAAGTGTTTCAATGCCGGCTGCACACTCCTCAATGAAGTTGTTATTTTGTGCCAGTCACATTTGCTGTCATTTATTGATGCAATACTTCAGTAAGAAGATGGAAATTAAGTTTGACTAGAAGCAGCACTCCTTGCCGATATATCAGTAGCAAGGTCAAGAATCTGTAGATAGATAAAGCAAACAACAAGCCACCCTCCCGAAGAAAATATCTGATGGTTTAACCTTCCCCTACATAATGTGGTTGCTATGTACATGTGACAAAAGGCAACAAGTGGGTTACAACCACATTGGATTCAATGTGTACAAAAATAATATTGGGGGGAAGTTTTTACAAAGATTGGTTATTTAATACCGAATAATAGTGTAGATATTTCATAAAAGAGTAAAACGTATTTCCAAATACTTTTGAACATAAAACTGCATACAAGAAGTGCTAGGAGTGCTTAGGATTATTCATACATATATTGCAAATGTGCAAAAAAAAAAAAAAAGATGGCTTAAAAACAAATGTTGCTTCATACTGCAACTATTTCTAGTAATATTTTTTTTATTAAAAAAAAACCTGCTTTGCATCATGCCAAAGTGGCATCTAGCTAGAGAGGAATGGAAATAATTGAGCCAGTGAAAGAACTGCAGATGCTTGGGTAATGATAGCTCACTTAACTCCCCAACCTTACCCCACTGTTGGAACACTCAACAATTCGGAGGCTCTCACAATTCTAAGGCTCTACACAAACACAACTGCTCGTACATTCCATACATTGTACTGAAATCTGCTAACTTGCATGCCGTTTGGAAATGTCAAACAAAAAGTCTTCAGTAAAGCAGATAAAATGAGCAAGCTATCAAGACAAAATATGGAGGAGGTGCAGGTTTTCAGCAAATTTAATACCATTAACATGAGTAGATTTTTTTTGTTTTGTTTTGAGAATTTACATTGGGTTTTTATTTTTTCATGTATACGTTGCCAAGTAAACTGCAGCTGCTGCATACTGGAGAAATTATAATACATTTCACATGCGGATACTTTTAAAGATCTTTAAATTTGTAAAAGATACGCAGCCACTTCTACTTAGCCGCCAAGAAGTTCACTGACCTGGACATTTCAATGTCAAAGGGCACACATGCTTGAAGAGTGTTAATCACCTCAATTGCAGAACAAATGCTTAGAATGATATTTAGCAACAGGCAATGTAGCAAAACAAATGTTTGCCAAACACAATCAAATTATTAAAAATTATTTGTAGAAAGTTCAAGTATTAAAAAAGAAAATGTGGCAGGTTAAATATTCAAGAGCATCATAGAGTCTACAAATTAACTTTTCATTGTAATATTAATTCGAAGTAGAAAAATAGATTATATAAATAATATATACACATTATTTTTTAAACACACACAGTCTTTTTAACCCAGACTATTTTGCTCTACCTAAGCATAAAATATATACAAAAAAAAAAAATAGAGCTTAAAATGTATAAAGACATAGACATTCTGTGTACTTTGGAGAAAAATAACGAGACTGGTGCAATTATGCTGGTGAAGCAGTTACTGCTTATAAGTGTGGTGCAGCTGTGGGAGGAGAGGGCTACATTGACAAACAGCTACCCTGCTACAAAGGTGGCAGGAAATCTATCATACTGGACAATAAAATTGCAATTGAGTTTCTTTGGCTTTTTATAGCAGACGCACGTATCATGATATGTAGCACTGCAAAGCCCTTCCACTTTTGCAACATTTGTTCTTTTATCGAAGAAAGGGGTCTTAAACTGGTTAGCCAAAGGCAATGGCTTCCTTAAAACAATGAAAGGAGCTAATTGCAAATTAACTCATACCAGCAACGGAAAAATAGACATGAGTTACTGAAAGACCTGGTCTATACATTCAAAAAAAATTTAAAATGACTATGTGATCTGTTACCTAGTATACAATGAAAATGTTTAGTCTCTCATACAAAAATTGTGAATTGGTAAAATGTAAGAGAATTTTTGTTGTAGAAAAATATAGGCAGCACACAATGCTTGTTCTCTGCATCGCCAACCTAAGTAGCACTACACTTTCACAGCACACCTGCACCCCCTAGTGGATGCAGAAGCAACAAGCACATTATATACGGAATATCATGAGGTAGATTCAATCTGATTAAAACGCAAGGGGTAAAAAAAAAAAACGAAAACAAAAAACACTGAAGGAATTTAAAAGCCAGCCAGCAGAATTTTTAAGAAGCTAGGGAATGAGGGTTTAAAGCATAGTTGCCAGAACCTATTTGTAAGACACCCAAATCTGGCTTTTAAAATTGTTAAGTTTTTTTTGTTTGTTTTTTTACTACACTTAAAAGGTAGTCATATATATGCAATCAGGAGAATCAATTTTATTTGATAAATGTGCATAAACTGAATAATATAGGTCAAAGCAGAAAACAGTGTCCTTTTATCATAAAACCTACACCATACTGAAATAGGACTGGTTATTGGGTAACTGCACCTTTTCTTTACCCTAGCCTTAAATACCACAATACGGCACAATTAAGCCAGGCAATATTTTACAGAGGCGATACCCTTTTTTTTATTTTCACACCACACAACATTCTGTGTATAACTTGTGTGGTATGAGAATGTGAATAACTGCTGCAATGCACTTTTCTTTCTTTTGCATCTATGTAATTATACACTTTGCAGCACGATACACCAAAATGATGCATAGCATAATAAGTCTTGGTGCAAAAAATGCAGCATGTCTACATTATTCCACAGAGCACACTATCTCAATGTTTTCGTGTGAACAGAGCACATATGCAACAAGAGTATTTCCTGGGACCTTGCACTAAGCCTGTGTTGTTTAACACAAATCAACACACTAGTGCAGTAGGTGTGAACAAGCACCAAGTCACAAACTTCTTTAGGTTTCATTCCGAAGTGCTATAAGTGCAACATCCCAAAGAATTTAGTGACAATATAATACAAATGTAAAATAAGAGCAAGGGTACAAAAACAGTATTGTGACGATTAACGGGTAACTATACATATAATCTTTCCACCACTTAACTGTATGTCTGTTTGTCTGTTAGATACCAATGTCTGGGTATTTGGCATGTTTAAATCTTTTCTTTGTATGTTGTAATTAAATAGATTGTTGGTTCATTGTATTTAAGTCTTGATACTATATACCAATAAATTCTGTTATTGTGTTGAGCTCAAAAATCTCATGAATGAATCCTTAGAATCTCCAACCTGTAAGTGTGAATGCTTATATAGCGGTTCATAACTTAAAATAGTAATTCAGGTAACACCAGGCATTGAGATGTCACACTGTGTACAGTTGGCCAAGTCATCATGGAGTGGGAACTAAAACCAATCTACCCAGAATGTCCTTTAAACTGCTGATCACACAAGAAGTCTTGTGAAAACTGCCAGAGAGAGAGCAACAATTTATTTTAAAGCTGAGCTCTTGGTAGACATAAATTAAATACAGCTCTGTAATTATTAAATCATTACATGTATTTTTAAAAGCAGGCAGTGTAAGTACCTGAATTTGAACTGGTATTGGCCTCTTACAGTGCATGTATACCAGAGCTGGAGTGTGAGAAGAAGCAGCAGCAGCAGGAGCCAATCAGTTCATGTGCTGACAGGAGGCCTGCTATTAAGAGAAGCAAGCAGAGTGACAGCTAGATAAATTTATCACTGTACTGCTTCTCCTTTCGCTGCCCTGTCACAGAGTGGAGCAGGTCCAGGTTGACCTGGGCTTGGAGGAAGCGTGTTAAATGACAATGCCCATCAAACTAACACACCGGGCAGCAGAAAAAGTAGTGCAGGACAAATCTCTGGATTGAAGCGGAATATTGCAGCAAAAGCTGGTTTTGTTATTATATATCTTTTAATGAGCTTTTTTTATATCTCTTATTTTTTGCCCAAAGTTCCGTGGAGGAATGTTTTTCCACCATCAAGGACTGTTAGACACTGCTTAGACAAAAATAAATGGTGCAAAAGAAAGGGAAAATTAACGATGTAAGATATGTACACTTTCCTACAAACCATTGTATACAATTCCTGGGTTATAAATCTAAATATTAAAAGGAATATTTGAGAAACAGATAAAAGGGGGGAATTAATATGCCCCTCTTGATAGTGAACGTTAACACAATCATTCCAAAAGTTAATTGCAGAATACAGTTAAGAGGACAAATAGATAAGTTTAGGAGTAAATCAGCCCAATCTCAGAGCTAGCAGGCAGTAAAACAATGTCTAAAAAGGAAAAAAAAAATAGAAACTGCAACAAAATAAGGAGCTAAAAATCATCAAGAGACTAAGGGCTTCTTTGCACCAGCCCGTGCGTCTACTGCAATGTCCAGTGCCTGGAACGCAAGGGATCACATACATAAAAGTCTCCTTGCGTTGTGGGGCGTGGCAGTGCCATTCAAGTAAATGGCACTGCAGACACGCCCCTCGCCCGCAGTACGATCGTGGTAAAAAAATGCCCTGCGTTCCAGTGCAGTGGGATCGCATACAGTGCACCCGACATAAGAAATATAGCAGAACACATTTTGGTGTAAATGTATGAAGAAATATTTTTTTTCCCAATAACACAACATAGGGAAACCGTTTTTATCTAGAAATGTTCAGAACTTTTTTTTATTTATATACGAAAAAAATTAAAAAAAAACCTAGTGGTGATTAAATACCATTAAAAAAAGTCCATCTGTCCCACTGAATACAGAAAAATGGCCTGGACAGGGAGGCGGTTTAACACTGTGCCAAGTGGCTAAAGTTGCCCTGAAAATTTGAATCTCACTGGAAGCTGTGGGTAAGCAAATACAGTTCAAAGTACTCCTAATTAGTGATCTCCGGAATGAATGAATGAATGAATGAATGAATGAATGAATACCAAGACTTTGTAGGACTGTAATACTCCTGAAATGTGAATCAAACAAACATTCAGAGTTAATGGTGGGTGGTTTAGGCTACAATTTTAGTATCCGGGTACGGCAAGCAGAGAGCTTCAAAGCAAAATTCCATATAACTGCTTTAGTCCCTATATGTAGTTGTTGCAATAAACCTATTTTCACACAGATTAAATGGAAGTGGCTTTTGGTGTTATATAGTGAACACATTTAACAAAATACTGTGGAAGCATTTGCAGTTACCTTTGAATGTGTGATAGAAATTGTATCCACCCAAACACGCCATCCACCCCATTCATATTTCACAGCATGATAAAGGAGGATGCGAAAGATGGCATACACCATTTCCGTGATCTTCTGCTCCTCGACGTTTTTGGGGTTAAAATAACACAATGACAGCATCCACTCCTGCCACACAGAGCACTGTAGCAAGCTCCTAAAACAACAAGACAAAACAGTTGTCACAAGCAAAAAAAAAAAAAAAAAAAACCTCAAAACAAATCACATTTTACACTTAAAGCTCCATGCTGCAGTCTGTGTGGACACAGAGCCAAAACAACCTGCCAGCGCCCAGCGGGGAGGAAAAAGCTGTCAGGAGGCCACGGTGCGGTGAGGAGAACTGCAGGAAAATCAGCAAATATGTGCTATATTTGCAGATCATTCCCTGTAATATTCATACTTTGCAGTGATCAGTACTGATCACTATGATGTTTGTAAATAATTGAGGAAATAGTCTTCAGATACTGTGTCACCAATTATAAATGAACAGGAAGTGCTCAACATCACTTCCTGTTCATTCATGGTCATGGACATAGTATCTGTTTACTATCTCCTTGATTTATGAATAAACATATAGCCTCTGTACTGAGTGCCTCCTATTAATTGAGTTTGGAGCTGCAGGGAAAAAAAAAATGAGCGTGGTGAGATAGCGAAGAAATTTGCGCATGCATTTAATTTTTTTTGTACCCGATTAATCGAAAAAAATAATCTGCCAACTAATGGATTATAAAAATATTCGCTAGTAACAGTCCTACATCTGACAAAAGGAGGGTGGAGGTTATGTCCAAATCCATACAATTCATGTTGCACAATAAAATATGGAACTTTCTATTTTTTCATATACTGTATGATATTTTTTTTTATACATATTTTTATAAGAAGAACTCCAGGCAAAATGTGTATTAACTGCTTGTTTAGGTCTAGGGAGGAAAATAAAGTCAGCTGATCCTCTGAGCCGCCCAGCCATGACAGCACTCCCTTCTGCCGGTCTCCTCCTACACTGCAGCGTTGGTATGTCCCTTAGCGGCCTAACCTCCAACACACAGTGTATAGAACATGACTCCGGGACCTTAGGCCACTGCAGTGGAGGGGGAGCAGGTATGGAAGGACCGGTCTAAGAGTAAGCCAACTCGGAGGATTGGGCTAGTATAACTTTTTTTATTCTCCTCCCTAAACCAAAACTAACACCTAATCTTTGCAGTGTGGGGGTAGCCCCACTGAATAGGTTAAGGAAAATTTTGCCCGGAGTTCTTCGTTAGGTAAAAACCCACTAAATACTAATCACAGTACACTGTGAAGAGTGTACTGTCCTTTTAATTTTTTTGTTTGCTAAAAATAAAATAAAAATGTGATTAGGAAAAGGTAAATAATGTTTTAGCGTGTCATATAAATAGCATATACCTTCTGTTCTCTCTGCTGTTATTGAAAAGCTTAATCATGTCTGACAGGAACATCCGTCTTACTTCCATGACTTCTTGAGTTGGAGGAGAGTTCCGCAGGAGAGTGGCTATAATTTTTAAGACCACTACAAAAAAAGAAAGACCACTTTTTAATCTAGTTCTAATTGTGAGGATTTTGCAAAAATAACATAAGCAAACTGGAATGTCCATGTGCAAATACTTCATACAAGATTTTTCCAAAACGTAGAGGAAACAAAAAGAAAATGAAAGTGCAAAAAAACAAAACAAAATATCCAAGCATGAATTGCCCTAAATAAAGAAAGCAAAAAGTCTGAAAATGAAATGCATATTATATTACTACAAGTGTTCAGCCAACATGTTACTCTCCATTGAGGCTCCTAGTCCAGAAAACAGATAAACAATGGGGCTTGCTTTTCAGCAGGTGTCACTACGAAAAGATCTAATGTCCATACCAGGCAAATGATGAGTTTTAAATGAGAAGTTAATAATTAAAGTTGAAGAAGAAAAGTTTTAAAGATTGTCTATATGGCACCAGCATTGAGATAGAAGTAAAGAGCACTCCTTTCCAATGGGGTACAAAAATATGAAACTTAAAATATGAACCCTTATAGCAATGTTTCACATCTAAAACAAAAACCACCTGACGCTTGTAACCGTATAGAGAGGTTCTATACTTCTTAAGGTTCCCTTTTCTGCTGAGAAAAGAGTGACTATTTAACCATTCGGGTTCTGCATTCACTGATCACCTGTGCCAGGTACAAGACTGCGGACAAGCCCATTGGCGTTGTGGTAAGTTTAAAAACAAACCTTTCTTGTAATGAAATAAAAGGATTCAATTGGGCTTTAAGAGTGGCAACACTTGAGGATCACTTGTATTTGGAGTTGACAAAACAGCCTCATGCAACTGTGGTATTCGTTACCGTTATGCAAATTCAAACAGCAAAAGGTTACATACTCAGGGGACACAGACTACATCCCCATTGGCTCCAATTTCCATTCTAGTACTCATCTGCCTTTCCCTCCAGCTTAAAACCTGTACTTTCTGCTTTCAACATCCTATAACTGATCCTGAATCCCTGGTTCACACAAAGGAATGGCTTGACAAAATAAATGCAGTTGGCATTGTCCATATCTGTTCTCAGTCTCCAGGTTACCGAGTATACTAAAGATTAATATATTGGGATTAAGGTTACTGCTGCAGATAAATTATAAGAACAGATTACGTTTTTACTTACAAGGGTTTTGTATCTTGACTGATGAATCGGGGTCAGGATGTTGTTTATGTATCACCTGAGTACTAATCTGTTCAATGAGAATCTGTGGAACAAACAAACCCCCCTATCAGAATATGATAAAGAATAAAGAATGCAAAAAGTTCAAGCATCTCCTAACATAGTAAAGCAACAAAACCTTTGTATAAATAGCAACAACAACAAAAAAACCTGTGTTAACATGGAAAAAAGGCAATACCATGGGTGCCCAGCATCCCATTTATAGCTAGCAGTTATTAGAATGTCTAATGTTCATTAGTTATAATATTATACAGTACAATTAGATGATCGCACACCAGCTATAGCTGCACTCTTTCTTTACATTTTTATAAAAACATAACACATGAGATGCATTGAGACCTCTGATGTGTTTCATGCACACAGGGTTTAGGCATAGTCTCAGTCACTCTTAGTTGGAAATAAACAATGTGCGAGTAAAGTGTAAGGTGCTGTTGCAAAACAAACACACACACACCTATTATTACAAGTATTTGTAAAGTGCAGTTTTGCCGCACACTCTAGAGCCATGCTGGTGGAATGCTTGGCCCTGTCTAAATTGACCCTAGTATGTGTGTGCAAGTGGGATGGGAATCTGGACCACAAGCTCTATAAAAACAGGGATTGAAATGAATACTAAATAAAATTGCTTCATAAGACAAGTGCACTTAAATACTTGTAATAGATGTTTGTTTGTTTTTTACACACTGTACTCACACATTGTTTATCTCCAAACCTTTCAAAACTGTTATTTTTAGAGACTGATAGCTACTTTTATTTTGATTTATGAATAATTATTTTATGTTTTTACATATACTCATTATTAAATGTAGATACCAGTTACTGAATCGGTTTTATTATTGTTCTACATTTTTGATGCATCAAGCAAGCTTTTACGTTATTGCAATATGATAAATAGATATGTACACAGTACTGTGCAAAGGTTTTAGACAGGTGTGAAAAAATGCTGTAGAGTAAGAATGCTTTCAGAAATAAAGTGTTAATGGTTTATTTTTATCAAATTAACAAATGGAAAGTAAATGAACGAAGAGAAACCTAAATCAAATCAATATTTGGTGTGACCACCCTTTGCCTTCAAAACAGCATCAATTGCTCTAGGTACACTTGCTTCTCCCTTCCCCTCCCCCCTTCCCCTCAGAACTCCTGTGGCACCAGGAGAATTGCTCTGACAGTTCACACTTCACAGACTGTATGTATTCACATGCCCTGCACCTCCACCTGGTAGCAGGAACAAGTGTTAAAAAACGATCGTCCTCTAAGAGCAGAGGGAGAACTTACTGTGAGGAGCTTCACACACTTCATGACAGGCTCACAGTCAGCTAGGGCCACAGTGCGGGCTCAGCAACTTCAAAGTCAGCAGCAGGGGGGCGGGGCTGACAATACAGCTACATCCAGATCTCTACAGACAGCAGCCGCTGGAGCTGCTCGTATACTAGCACCAGCACTGGAGCCACTGCACTGCTGCTTAATTCAGCGGGGGGGGCACACGGGGGGGCAAGGCATAAAACAGGGGGGGCAATTGCCCCCCTGTAGTGACGCCTATGCTTGCACACAGTGTTTGAAGGAAGGCCTCAGATCCTTCTGTCTCTTCATGTAATCCCAGACAGACTTGGATGTTGAGATCAGGGCTCTGTGGGTGCCAAACCATCACTTCCAGGACTCCTTTTCTTTACGCTGAATATATTTCTTAATGACATTAGCTGTATGTATGGGGTCGTTGTCCAGCTGCAGAATACATTTGGGGGCCAATGACACCTCCCTGATGGTATGGAATTATCTGCTTGTATTACTCAGCATTGAGGACACCATTAATCCTGACCAAATCTCCAACTCCATTGGCAGAAGTGTAGCCCCAGACTTGGTAGGAAGCTCCACTATGCTTCACTTGCTGTCTCGCCTTCGGCGAACAAACTGCATCCCTCCTGCTACAGCCAAATATTTAAACTTTTGACTCCTGCTTGGATAAACCTACCTGCCGAGTTCCTTCAAAAACTGTGTGTAAGTGTACCTAGAAGAATTGATGCCGTTTTGAAGACAATGGGTGGTCACACACATACAATGTTGCCTTGTATGTTACCTTAGCCATGATGAAGGGGTTTATTTTGGACCCCCAAAACACATTGGCTACTCTACTTGATTGCCTGACCCTAGTGGAATAAATTTGTATCTGGACTATGTCAATTGGTGTGGTGCTTCAATTCCTACAACTTCTTGTTCACTGTTAAGCCAAGGATACTGTGGAGACCCTTCGGCCAGTGATAGCTGCCTGTCCGTTAGCCAGATTGCACGTAGTCACATTACTTAACCAATACGGGATGAGAAGCATAAACAGAATAATGACACAGGTCCAGCGCTCGCTTTCCACTGCCAAATATGAGCACCTGGCTGTAGCAGGCAAGCATGGAAAAAACGATATTGGACACACCGCTTCTCTCAGCTTATGATATGCCCCCATATGGCCAGCAAGAAAAAAAAATATATATCTTGCAATCCCCACTTAAATTTAAAATCAAGGAGCGTAAAGTTTGCTTTTCCGTCTCCGGGAAACAGGAATATTGAAAAAATGCAGCTCAGGGGCAGAAAAGCTTAGCCTCACATATTCTTCACCTAGAATTAATTATGTATTTAGGAGGGGGAGCTTCACAAACATATAAGACCTTAAAAGAAAGACACCAAAGCTTCATCTGGTATCACTACCGTAAGAAATAAGTGGAGGTTTGTAGGAGCATACTTGATACAGCCTAGTACTAAAAGTAAAAGGGTGGAATTAAGTATAATACATTATTCAGTTCAGAGACATGTATTTAGCTTCCTGTAACAGAAAAAAATTGTTTATATTAAATAATTTAGTTATTTTATTAAATAATTTACTATTATTACTAACAATAATATAAAAAATACTAAAAGAAAATGTATAGCCAAAACAGTTTTCTCTTAGTTCTGTATAGAGGAAAGGGTTGGAAGCCTGTAAGTTTTGCTGGTTTTCTGTGGGCTTTGTGAGAGATTTCCCCTCCTCTATTGTCACAGTGATATCAGTTTTAACAGAAAGAAGTGAGGAAAACCTCCAACAGCAGCACAAATAGAAATCATTTTTGGGGGACAGAATAGGGGAAGGCTAGAACCCCTATCAGCTATGTATTGCTGTCCCTGTTACAGATTTTTTTCACTTCCTGTCAGCTCAAACCAGTTATCAGGACAGTAAGTGAGGAAAAAATCTATCGGCGACCCAGACATAAGTAAAAATCTGACAGTGTGGGAAGAATTAGAACCTATTAAGAAAAAAAAACTCCTGGACATACACTTTAACCCCATAGTGACACAGCTTTAGAACATTTTTTACTTTCTGGGGACCGGAGCAATTTTGCAATTTTTACGATGTGTTTGTTTAACCATAATTTCCATCTTCCCCAATCATTGCACATACACATTATATACTGGATTTTTTACAGGTCAAAATGGGCTTTAAATTTGATGTGACATATGCATATAGAAATTCTTATTTTTTTATTAAAAAAGTGGGGGGGGAGGTAATTCTAGGATTTTAGTTTATTTTGGGAGTTATAGGTCGCAAAACACAAGGAGTGAAATACAATTTTAGTGTGGGACAATTTTGGAATGTGGTATGTTTGTCTCCTAACTTTCATGGCCTCCTCGGCACTCTATTTCCTTAAAATGTTTTTATTAAACGTCTTTTTTTTTAAACTAGGGGGCACTAAAAGGTTATTTTTTTAATCACAGGGGCTTTGGATACTTTGTTTTCTGATGAGACACTGTATTCTCCTCAGATATGCTTTGTAGCACACTGATCTGGTTGCAGCCCCACAACACAGTGAGCTGCAAGCCGGATCAGTGGCTGCAACAGCACTGTGATCACCGCGATTGGCCATCACTGTGATCACAGTGCTGGGACCCCCTGATTTGCTGTTGAGGGTCTGCCACGGACACAGAGGGACCCAGCAACAGCATAAACCCCATGAGCGCTGGTCCCTCCACAGACCAGTGCTCATTTTCCGCATGACGGAATTTTTCCATCAAATTTTTTTAAGTATTTGAAAGATTTTGCCGGAATAATTCTGTCATATTCTTTGTGTACCATAAAATAAGACCTAAGCAAGCAACATTAATAACTTCAAGCTACTTTTAGCCAAATTTTTCAGCCCAGATCAACTTTAAAGCTCTTCCATGTGGTAAACACAAATCTTTACATAGCATCATTGCTGCATTAACTAAAATCCATCAGTAAGCTTACAACTCACCAATGACAACATAAAGTTATAAAAATTAAAAACTAACAGACTAGAACACAACTAAATATTTTATTAGTTTGAACCATGTAATCTAAAACTAACAGTTTCCTTATTTATACTAAACAGAAAAAAAAACTGTTGCACCTACTTTGGTGATAAGTGCTTCAGAAAGTATCCCAGGACTTTTAAAGCTTGAACTCGTATTCCTTCACTCTTTGATGCCAGCAGTTTATAAACCACCCTGTTATAGGTAAGAACATAAAAAAATGTAAAACTAAAACTAAAACAAAAATAATTAAAGGTAAATCACAGTATAAAGTGCAGCACCTTAATCCATTCCTCTGATCAAAAGCTGGAATCATGGAGCCTGGATGCTCAGACATTAGTGCAACAAGCAACTGCAAAACATCCATCAAGTTGTCATCCTATACAGAGAAAAAAAAAAATGAACAAATAGATTAACAGAAAACCAATGTTGTTTGATCAATGATCCATTGTGCAGAGATTAAGCAGTAAAATTATAATATATACAGGACACAAATACACAATAAGCCAAGAAAACATTAACAAAATTATCTACATCTCATAAACACACATGCTTTGAAACAATGCAATACAAATGCTTTTAATTGATGTTCTGTTATATTACAATGCACTCCACAGGCAAATGAATGTAGTATTCAGTGAATGGTGGTCGTCTCTCGTTTGATGCATCTATACTCACATATTGTTTCTGGGGGAGCAAACTAAGCAGTGACTAGAAAAGCAAATGGACAAGCCAGATATAACACCCAGTCTAGCAGATGATCTTATCGCACTGTACAAAAATCTAAGTAAAATTTTTCAATTGCAATATTTAAATATTCCATTTAGAGAAATATTTTAAATATGTTATTGGACTTTACAAATGATAAGAATCTAGTCCTTTTAAGTAATGAGTGATAACAGCAAGACAGAGCCTGATAATTTTCTCCTGCAGATAGGCAATTGTGTAATCTGGTTTCCTTTAAAGCAGTGCCACCAAGTGGCAAAAAACAAATAGAAACGTGCAGTAAAAGGTTCACGTACCTCGTGAATGGTAAGCAAATAATTCAGAATTGCTTGCAGTTCATCTTCTTTTACCCCATAATCCTTAAAAAAACAAAAACATAAAATGTAGGAACAAAGGATCTAGTTACCAGACTAGACCAAATGGAAATAAAGTTATGGGAGTGATGTACAGTCAGAATATAGAAAAAGGAACAAGAAAACCTACTAAAATAGTGTGCACCAAGAAATCAGTCAAGGATTCCCAAAAGGTAGTATTCACAAACAAACACTCTGGTCACAAGAGTTCAACTCAATCCAAAGAGAGAATAAAAACTATTTGGATATTTGTTTCTTTGTAATCACATCAAACATTCTGACTACTAATGACGTGAATAACAATAACAAACTTTAAATAAACAAACAAATCAATTGTACCAGTTTAACTACCCTAATCGTCCCCTCTGCTCCTCCCAAGACCTCCTGCTCGCTAGCTCCCTTATCAATTCCTCCCATGCTCGCCTCCAGGACTTCTGTAGAGTCTCTCCCATTCTTTGGAACTCTACCCCAACCTGTCCATCTATCTCTTATTCTGTCTACCTTTAGGCGATCCCTAAAGACTCATCTCTTCAGGGAAGCCTATCCCACCTCAACCTAACCACAGAACCGTCACTTTCTTAAAATTTTTTTCCCCACACAGCTGCCTCCTCATGTACCACTTGCCACTTACTTTAGGATTGTAAGCTCTTACGGGCAGGGCCCTCCTAACCATCTTGTCTTGATTTGAATTGTAATGTCTTCCTTATATTGTAAAACGCTGCGCAAACTGTTCCCACTATATAAATCCTGTATAATAATAATAAAAAGCCTTGTTTGTATACATTACCTTCATTACCAACTGTTTGATGAAAATGAGCAGAAATGCTCGGAGAGAAAGGATCTCTTTCTGGTTAGGTCGAAGTTCATCTTAAGGTATTGAAAAAAGAAAAAAAAAAGGCCATTAGCTAAAAGCATCAAACAAATTTCTTTACTATTAAGAACGCTTTCAAAATAGAAGTCTACAGTGTTTCTTCAAATTGCCATGTCAGATCCTAATCATTTTAAACATAACAACCTTCCCACTGCAATAGGTTTAAACTACTAATACAAATGTTCAGCAGCCAAGCCCACACATAAACGGCTAGAAAGCATTCAGCCAACTCACATTAAAGTAAAAACTAAATCAGAAAAATATTCCAATAGTCCCAGACACAAAAGTTTAAATAGACATAAGGTGATGAAACATTCAACATACCCAAACCTTTAGGGATGATTCCACTGCGGTCCTGGGGGTTAACAATCCAGTAGTAGTACTTCAGAGTGTGCATCACCAGGAGAACAGTGCCGATGCGCCGCACTGCATTGTAGATATTAACTGTGCTGATGAAGTCAGTGGACATGTAGGTATACAAGGCCAATTGTACCTTCAGAGTGAAAAAGGAAAGGCCATTTCAGTTTAATCTTGTCATGAAAGGAAAATGGGGTCTCTGCCATTGCTAAACTCCTCTCTAAAGCACCAAAGGCTTGTCTGTTATTCTGAGCCACTTTGTTCAATACTTATAATAACTTGCCTGGAGCATGTATGCCGATCAGGAAACTCTGAAAAAAGTCGGATCTTATCTGGGTGGTTGCTGTGGGTTAGTACTGAAGCAAGTGGATTAACATAACAGCCAGTTGGCTAGTATTTTTAAAAGCAGAGGTCAGGAATGGAGGCCTTCGTTTCTCTCATTAAAACTTATTAACATTTTCCGATACTGTAACAGACTTTAAGCAGAATAAATTGTTCACAATAGGAAAGGCATTGCAATATCACCCAACCTTACATTTACAATCACAAAAAGCTATCTGTAATACTCCTAGTAACACAATTTTAGTCTTTCCAAATCTCCATAGCAACTGACTGTTACTGGTTTACAATGAGCTGATGGTTCTGATCAGCTCATTGTAAACCAGAAGTCCCATTAAGGCCCCCGTTCACATATAGCGAATTGTCGCGCGATTTCCGCCGCGATATCGCGCATTTTTGCCGCGCGATATCGCGAGAAGTCGCCGGCCAATGTTATTCAATGGAGCTGTCTTAACTCCATGTCGCGCGTCGCGCGTCGCGGTCGCAAGTCGCTTCTACCGAACCCTTTTTTCGGCGGATTTTGCGCGATTTTACTTTTTTTCTATGGAGCCCGACGGGGAAGGTCGCGCTACCGTCGCTGGATCGTCGCTGGAACGTCGCCCCGAAAGTCGCGCTATCCCGGCCGTGCGGATCCGCTGCAAAAGGTATGTCGCTATATGTGAACGGGGCCTAAGGAAGCCAGTCGGCGTGTAAGCTTAACATATTAATAACTTACTCGCAGTCAGATAGTATAAAATCCACAGACAACATTTTGTGGTTGATTTACTAAAGGGGCAGAGGCTGTTCACTCCTCAAAGCGAATATTAGTAAGAAGATGAAGCTGTGTTCACTTTGAATACTTAAAAGGAGAACTATGAGGCGAGTGCTTTTCACTCACCTCATAGTTCTAGCTGACCTGCGACAATGAGACTGTCAAGGTCAGTAGATCGGGAAGTGAGCGAACACATACCGGCGTTCGCTCACCTCTCGATCCTGTCACAGCTCTCTGCCGTGACAGGGGAGTGGCTGGATTCCCCCCCCACTCCGATCCTCCAGCGCTGACTGGCGGAACGGACGGTGGAGGGGGCAGGTAAAGCTTGCTCTGCCTCTAGATAGGCAGAGCCAGCTGTCACTCACGCAGCTGGGCGGTCCAGACAATTGTTGGGATCCGCTTCAGCTGCGGCGTCTCAGTATACCGCCAGCTGTAGCTCGCGGTATACTGCGGCGTCTCAGTATACCGCGAGCCGTAGCTCGCGGTATACCGAGCTTAGGGTGACGGGAGAATGCTATTTTGTGTCCTCCCGTTACCCTAAGGAGAACTATGGGGAAAAGCCCTAATTTTCCCTCACACATGATTGGCTATACAATGTGAACACAGGTTCACTTTATTTACCAACATCCACCTTGGCTTTCCGATTGGCCGGGAAGCTGGCCCCACGCTTTCTCGCCACCAAGTGACAAGGGAGCATGGAACCGGCTTCAATGACTCGCTGCCAGGCTTCCTGATACAGGACGTACGGGTATCAGGCTAGGCATCGGAGCATTTGGACGAGTACAAGTACTGGTCCAAATACCCGCTTTGGCACCAATACTACTGTAGTATCGGTAACTGTGCATCCCTACCTAAAACCAAATGTAATGTCAAAGGACATTCATCAAGTCTCTGATAACATTATCGAATGTTATAGACTTCGGTACTAAGCAGGGAGGTAACTGTACAGCTCAATGTTAATGCCGTCGTTTAACTAGAGAAAACCCCAGTTCTTTTGTAAAAAGTATTAATTTCTATGGGGTCTGCGCATGCTGTTGCTTCATGTTTTTTTACTTAGGCAGGCCCATTGAAATGAATATCAAACATACAAAGAAGTATTATAAGCTGTCTTTTAAACATTTTTTGTGCGCAAGAAAAAAAAATCTCTTGCATAGCACAAGCAAAAATCACATCTGCACACACATGTACAAAACCACGTGTTTAGGAGTATGCGCACATGCATGCAGTAACTCGCAACTTGTTTCTTAGAAATATTTGTGGTTCTTCTGACATTACAATGTGGTTGTAATATAGCTATTTTTTTTTTAAATAGTAAAAAAAAGAGAATGCTTATTTAAAGGAAACGTGCTAAAATAAATCTGTAGTCTGCCATTTCTGGTTCCTCCTGAAAATGCCAGCTGCCTGGCAGAAATTCGGGCTTCAGTGTATTCTGGCATATTGACTCAATTTCTCTATTGAAGGAAGAGACGCAAAGATACTAAGAATTTCCACAAGGAAAAGGTGAGCATTAGCAGCCGCATAATTCTTTTAGCACGTTTAGCGAAATTAGAAGAGTAACTTTTTTTTCCCCAAAATTGTAGATGTATATTGGCTTGTAGAAGAATTACCTATTTATACAACAATTGCAGGGAAAAGAAAAAGTCCTTGCATACCTTTGCTGGCGTATGAATCCATATCGCTGGGTTCAAAAGAATGTGGTCACAGAGCTGTTTCAGTAAAGGGATTCCATTGTGCAAAGTGCTCAGGTATTTAGAAAATGCCAGGCTGAGCTCTAGGACTGTTCGGGTAACATGTATTTTGGAAGACTGCACACAAATACAAAAAAAAGTGTGAGAAAAAAATTAAAACATGTCTTGCATTGAGCAAATTGTAACATATTAAGATGTAAAAGGCACATCATACCTGCTTTTTTATATCAAGAATATTTATAACTAGTACCATCGGCCATAAACCCATCCTCTCTAAGGCCGGCACAATATTACAAAGCCAATATGAGTAATTTACACATCAGTGAGAAGCGTAAAATCACCAGATGTCCACAAACAGCCTAATTAAGTAGGCAATGCTACCGAATCAAGAATTGCTTGGACAATCAGGCTATGCTGGCCACTCCCCTTTAATGACAGGGCCTTTTATACGCATGTTATAATCCACATTTAAGGCCTGAAAGTTACTTAAAACCCTCAAACATTTTATATTTTCTGAAAGCAAAGACCTTGTAAAATAAAATAGTGGCAGTTGAAAATGTTGACATTGCATTATATTAACGCAACTCTGTACCAAACCCACATATGTTTAAAAAATGCACTTAATGTAATACCCATTTCTTTTAATAAATAATAAAGATGAGGTTACGACAAATAGATACCCAACATGCTCAGGTACAAAATTACAAGATACAGTACTTCAAAATTGTCCATAAGCGGCGCTCTAAAAGCCCGTGTTTACGTTAATAAGTGTGCGCTCGCTGGGGATCATTTTTAAAATTATTTTTACATTTTATTTAGATCTACCGTATTTTTCGGTCCATAAGACGCACTTTTTTTCCCCCCAAAAGGAGGGGGAAAATGTGCCTGCGTCTTATGTAGCGAATCCCGACGCCCGAGACATGCAGTTTCGGGCGCCGGGCGAGTAGTAGGAGCCACTGCTCGTTTAATACGAGTGATCTAATGAGATCACTCGTATTAAAGCCGAGCAGAGGCGGCGGCGATCGAGTTCAGCAGTAGGAGCCACTGCTGGTTTAATACGAGTGATCTAATGAGATCACTCGTATTAGAACCGAGCAGCGGCGACGATCGAGATCACCATAGAGCAGACGAAGAACGGACGTTCTTCGTCTGCTCTGTGTGATCACTGAGACCGTGGCGCTGTAATCACAGCGCCACCTGTCTCAACGGTCACTAACTGCAGCTTCTGTCACAGCTTCCGTCATAGAAGCTGTGACAGAAGCTACAGTCTGTTGAGTGCTCCATAAGGCGCGCCGAATCTCCCTGCGTCCTATGGTCCGGTGCGTCTTATGGACCGCAAAATACGGTATGTATATTTAATTGTTTTAACTTTACTTAATTGCTTTCACATTGGGGAGCTTAAAAGCCCCCTTATGTGATAGCATAGTAGTGGTGACCAGTACTCTAAGTGACACTAGGGGTCTAATGGACCTCTTCCTTCCAAAAGAAGCTATTGGAGCGTAGACAGACCAGTCCCATTCCACGCTTCCACTTGGGGTAGTGGAAGGCGGGGGTGTCGGGCTGGGGTTTGCACTACACTGGTCCCTAGAAGCGATCTGACACTACTTCAGCCGGCAGAATCACTTCCACTGTAAAGCCAACAGTGGGCTTTACACATGTAAACATAGTCCCAGCATTTTAGTCTGTTTAAAGGGGCCCCATTCGCCGGTGGCAGCAAAAGGGTTAAAAAAATGACTGGAAATACTCTGTACAACCAATATCTTATAATCTATAATTCCAAGCGAGGCAGATTTTGGCCAGCCTCAGATGTAGCTAAACAATGACATGAAACAAGCATGTACATATCAAGTTTTGTTACACTGGAAATATATAAGCCTGAACCAGGTTAGACTCTGGAGGTAGTGGGGATCAGGATGACAGTCTTAGAGCACCTTTAACAAGCATGAGGTTGCAGTGACCGTAAAAGAAATCCATCAGGAGAGAAGTATCTTGGACTTCCACTGCCGATTTTGAAAATGCTAGCTGCTTGGATGTATTGCTCATTATGGTGATCAAGAATATAGTTTAAAATATATAGTTAAATTATAGTTTAAAACCCTTAAGCATACAGCCAGTGAAGCCACAACTCTGGCTTTATTAGTCAAACATACAAATTTAGAGAGCCAAACAACTAGCAATATAATCCTCTATACTTCTCTTAGAACAGGTTTCCTTTAAGGTGCATGTTTACAACAACTGGTTAAAGCCACACTACACTCAGGAGTTAAACCTTAAAAAAGCATACAAGTATCTTAAGTATTAACAAAAATGTATCTTCTTTGTGCATCCCCCAGTTGTAGATCCTAAAATCATCTCTGAATTTGTGCCGACACTGTCCTTCCTTCTTTGTAGTCCATCACGGGGGTGAGCTTGGAGCGGTGACTACTTTACAACACGGGGGCCATGGGGAACAAAAGTAGTCACCCTCCAAAAAGGAAGGACAGTGTCAAGACCAATTTAGAGATTTGAGGATCTACAAGCGAGTGATACACAAATAAGATACATTTTTGTTATTAGTTAAGATACTTGAATGCATTTTAAGGTTTAACTCCTGAGTTTAGTGTCACTTTTAGCATCGGCTTTTTGTTTTCACCCTAATTTACCACGGAATGTATCATCAGTTTTTAAAATAAAAATAGTTGCAATGTCAAAATAAAGCGAGAAAAAAAAAGCATGCCATCCTTCCTCAGTTCCCTACAATTAAAAGGCCCCAAAGTACTGAAGGAGATAGTCTAATAAAATGCACAGGGATTGCTCATATACAGTAGGTTCACCTTCTCAAGACTGTATCCTATTACGAGGAAGCCCTTTGAAGACAGCATCTGTTCTTGCATAGCGAGTGAGTTTTTCAGCAGCTCCAAAATGAAGGCCAAAAGTGTTGAACTACATGAAAGACAATAAAACAAACAAATCATCTCAGATATTTCATCAAAACACACGATTCATTAAGCTCGAACGCATTTTGCCACCAAAGATATACGTAACTTACAAAATTTAACAATATAACAAGATTACATTTGTTTGACTTTTTAGTTGTTATGGGGGGCAAATTGATGATCAATTTCAACCACAGTGACAAAAACTCAAAAGGAGCATATTGGAAATGTTTTATCAATTGCATGGAACTCCTAATGAATGGGATTTTCGTTCGGGAATCTCCATTCATTCCAAAGTCTAATGTTAAATCAAAATGAAAATCAAACAAAATTTCAAACATTTGTCAAGTCTCTAATGGCATTATCACACGTTCTGAAGAGATTTTTCATACAAATGATCATTCCAAAATCTGCCAGTGTATACTCTACTTTACCCTCGCCTTCCGCTCTGTTTGTTGCTCCCCCTTACCTTATTTTGTGTCTCAGTGCCAAGATCACCAGGACAGAGAGAGAAATCTACCCAGCAGGGACACAGATGGCTATAAAAACTGTTATGATCCCTCACCACTCTATCCAAACCTAAAAAAAAATAGGATTTTTGTTCTCGCTGTAAAATCCTTTTTTTGGAGAACATTGAGGGACCTAGTTTGAGATTATACAACCTAAGGTTATACTGCCATCTATAGGAGAAATGGACACTAGGCATATCACAAACTGGAGGCCAGTCCACTAGTGGCTCTAACTTCACCTACACCAATCCTGCTCAGTTGTAACAAGCAGTCCAAAGAGAGAACTGACTTCGAGAAATGGATTTCATAGTGAGTACAAAAATCCTATTTTTTCTATCATCCATTGAGAGACAAATCTTAAGATTATGCAACCTAGGGACATCCAAAAGCAGTCCAAACAGAGACAGGAACACCAAAAAAACACAGGCAAACCAGCCCAGCAAGAAAAACCCAAAAGGGAAAAACAAAGACATTAACAAATTGAGTCCAAGGGTTTTTCAGATTTTGGACATGTGAGATTGTTTTAAGATTACAGCTTTCTTTTGAAGTCAACCAACCCAATCTTGATATTTTTGGGGACAGATAAGATTTTTTTCCGAAAATTAGAGAAAAATGGTGGGGAAAAAACAGCACTTTTCTGGTAGGTTTATGGGGGGGAAAATACATGGTGTAGGAACAATTGCGCATTATTTTTCCTTCACAGACATTATAACAAAGGCCCTGTCTTTAAAAATAGGTTTCCAATTTCCAATATCTGGTCTGAATCCACCAGTAGCTGTCAATAGTAGAAAAACTTCCCAACTCAAGCAAGAAATACAGTGGTACTTCAGTTCACAAACGTACTTCATTCCACGATTCTGGTCGCAAACCAAATAACATTTCCCCATAAGGTTCAATGTAAATAAGGTTAAATACTCTGACCCCTACGAACGTTTTGGTTGCGAACAGAATACATTTCCCATAGGGTTCAATGTAAATAAGGTTAATCTGTTCTGAATCATATGTACATTCTTTGTTTCATATTTTTGTGGTTCTAAAAAGTACAGTACAGTATGAAGAGCGTGAACACTAACCTTTGCACTTTCTTTGGAGCCGTGCTGGATTGAATAATACTGTACAGTACTGTATGTGCTAAAAAAGCACACAAAAAAAGCTTCACCGCAAGTGTGCACAGGTCTGTTTGCGACCGCGATCTCGACTAGAGGAAGCCACTACCACGCTTTAGAGCGGGGAAGGTGGCCGCGGTCGTGTTTGTCACCCGATTTAGAGTTTGCGAACGAAAAGCAAAATTTTGCCGAACCTCCTGATCACGAACCGAATTGTTCGCAAACAGAAGTGTTCGTGAACCGAGGTATTGCTGTATAGAATAAAACAAAGATGTCCATTTTCCATAAGGGAAACTGGGCAGGGGTGGGAGGGGAGGGGTAATGGCCTGTAAGAGGCTAGCCCCAGTTTCTAGAGTCCATTTCTCCTGTTGACGGAGATATAGCTCTATGTTTCAATGTCCCTCAATGGAGGATAAAAATAAAAAAAATAAAAACGGTTTTCATTTACATACACATTAAGTTAGAGTTAAAAAAAAGGTTTTTGTTTTCTTATTTTCCCAACATGCCATGTTACAATATATTCAAATCTCCTACAGAATATCGAATATGCATAATAATGCTTCTGTGAGTAAACAAATATCTGAGGCAATAAAATGTAGTAGCATACAGTAGCCTACAAAAGCAAAAATATACATAACATTTCAATCCTACCACATACTCATATTGTACTGAAAGTAGAAGGTAAAAGACAACTTCAGTAACAATTAAATGTATTGTGTTTAAATCCCCACCCTTGAGCTACCTCACAAGCATAACTTCAGATATGACTAACTAAGCTAGCATACTTAAGGTGCCCATACACCTTACGACCATCGCAAGACTTGTGTCTTGCGATGGTCGTATGCTTATTGAAAGCTCGTACGATCTGCCCACCTTGGATGGGCAGATCTTACTTGCGATCATCGAAAGCCCGCCCCGCTGAGGGGCGGGCTTCCGATGACTGCAATGCAGAACAGGTAGTGTGAGAGTGCGCACACCGGCCCGTTCCACAGCTATCGAACGAGCAGGCTAGAAACCTGCCGACAATCGTACGATTCTCGGCGGGTTTTCGAGCATGCTGGTTCGACAAAAGGACGTGCGACCGTACAGTAGAAACGGTCGCACGTCTTCGTTCACACTGCTCGATTCTCGTACGATCGCGGGATTTCCCGCGATTCTCGTACGAGAATCGAGCAGTGTATGGGCACCTTTAGACTAATGTAATACCGGTATACCCAGCTGGATAAAGCTCGGAAATCTGGGTGCCAGGTTCAGTCATGCTCTCTTTTTGGAATGATTTTATTATTGCTAGGATCTACCAACAAGTACCATTTACTTCTCATGTTAAAAGAGGTCTGGGACAATCAGAAATTTACAAATAACTTCCTTGCCAATGCAGAACTCTTTAATAAGATCCAGATCACAATACAAGAGCAATCTATATAAACAGTTTAAAACAATTATCTGAGTAAGGTTGATACGACTGATACAAGGTTTTCAGTCTCTCTGGGCATTAAATAATTATTGCAAAAAATGAGATACTTACCAGACTGATGTGTCAATATGATCAGAACCAGGTTGCTTGTAATCCAGCTGAGCAAAAAGAGGGAAGAGAACCTGAATTCCTCCAATGGAGTGCATTGCACTTTGAATAGAGTGTGTCAGAACAGCCTTGACATCCTTAAAAATGGAAATATGGAGTAAAGGTCAAACAAAAAACTCCAGGCAACTACATAACATACATTTTAGCCCAGCTGGGTATTCATGAAATCCATTTTAGAAATACTATAACTACTTGAAATCTACTTTAATGTGATCTTTGCATAGTACCCTGCACAGTAGAAATCCAAATGGGATTGAGAGATTAAGCACCATAATCCTGCTGGGCTCAACTGCATTAACAAGTACTGCCCATCTAATATGGTTTCAGGCCCTGGGAGCTGGAGAGGGCCGAGGTTAGGCAGCTTACAGGAGGGGAAGGGCTCATTTGGAGTCCTAAAAGATGCCTGGTGGCTAGTATTATAAAAAGATACAGGGATCCTACTGTAGATCACCAAATAAACAAAAAAAAATCACAAGTATTTGGCAACAGTAATGGTTCACATGTGTTATTTAGTAGTTTGCCCATCCCCACTAACCCAACTAAAAAGAAACAGTAACAAATTAAATTGAAGTAGTCTGCTACCCTAATGACAACTTTCTGAATCGAATCAGGCCTAATGATAATGATCAATATCATAAAACACAGCTGAAATGAAAACAACATATAAAAAAACCAGCAATGTAGAACACAAGCAAGTGAGCTGTACCTGAAGCATCAAGGCATGGGGGGAGTGAATAAATATTGAGGCGTTATCTTTAGGAGACGATTCTAGGCAGAGCTGAGCATCTGTAGCTCGCGGGTTATATGTGAAGGCAATTGAACTGGACAGCTTGCCGTCATACAGCAACAATTTGTGGTGTTCGGCAAGAAAGAGGTCACTCTCTGCCTTGAATTTAAATGTACCCTGCAAAACAGAGAAAAATAATTATTACTGGAATTGCTAAAGTTTTGACAAAAGAATTGACAAATTTCATACAGTGCATCTTGTCTTTAAAAATGTAATGTCCACTAAAAAGTCTTGACTATACTGTGACTGTAAACTATTACATGGTAAAACAATTTGTTTTTAGAGCATTGGAAAAATATGACCTGGAAACCTGCATTACCAGGCAAACTAACCATCACATGTTAACTCCTTATACTCCAAGATATTCTGTGGCTAGGTGGTTGGCAAAACATTTTTTTCCATTAGTATCTTTTTTTTCATTTACTACGCAGATGTGTATGGACTGAGTGAAGCAGGCTCATTCTCTGCACCTAGACAGTAAGACTGGACATAGAGGAGATGAACTTCCATTGGATATGAAGATAGTGACCCGAATGATAGATCTACACAATTGTAAAGGCCTTCATGACACTTTTAAAAGGCAAACAATTGACAACAACTATCATCTGCTAAGAATGATGTTGCACCCTGTTGGAAAATTATTTTTATTGGTATATAAAATTAACCAACTGTTTTGCAAGTTGAATGAATCGTCACAAGATTAGATGAAGAAATTGTTAGATTTACATCCTGTCCAAGTAGAGAATGGCCAGATTTTTATAGCCATGTTTTTGTCTTATGATCACAAAGGACAGCAAATCACCAGCTGAAAATTCAAGTGTTTGGCTCCTAAATTCGAACCATGGCTGTTCGTAAACAAGTACACTTCAATACACTTGAGCAAATGTACTGCAAACAGTGAAAATTAGGTTGTGCCATAGACATCATTGTTTGACAAAGACAAAGCAGATCCGGTTATACAACTGGTCTGCCAGGTCTTTAGGGGGTACTTTACTTCAATGTTCTCATCTCTGCATTTTTTTTTTCCTGCAGCTTTAGTGCCTCCGACTATAACAGTACAGATCTCATCATGCATTTTGTGTGTTGTGTCTTATGCAGTTAACTGCATCAAAAAAAAAAATGTTCAAATGTAAATTTGGCGTAATGGTTTGCTTCTGAATGAGTTGTACAGACATCAGAAGCGTCTGATATAATGTGCAGTGAACAGTAAGAAAGTGACTACAGCATATAAGAAAGACTGAATTTTAATACAAGTTATTATTGACATGGTATTATCTGCATTATGTACTGGTAGCAATAGTGGCATTATGAAAAATTGGAGGTTTCCACAATGATGCCATCAAGATCTGAAAATCAGTTTTACAAGCAGCATACTCTCACAGCTGGACATAATTGTTTCATGGAAGCATTATCCCCAGGCATGGATAACAATTAGAATCTTAGGAGTGTGATACAACCTAATAAGGTTTTAAACACGGAATCTAAGATGGTTTCGGCTGATTATGCTATTGAAGGGGGGGGGGGGACTCATTAAACCCTTCATGACCTGGGCTGCAATCACAATCTCTTTAGCGTGACTAAAAATAACCACGGAGAAAAAAAATCTTAATTGTTCTTTCCTTACAAAAAAAGAACCCAAATAGGTGCACAAAATCAAACTTTAATGTGGTCATTTACTACACGACAGTCACATTATGAAAAATTCTCATCTGTTTGTATTTTCCAGTCTGTACATTTAGTAAGAAAGTATATTACTGCTGTGGAAGAATCACACAGCAAAAATGTAAAAAATGTGTCAGTCATTTATGAACAGAACCTGAAAACTAGCTCAGTTATGAAGGGGTTAAAATAAATTTGGTAAACCTTTAGAAGGCTTAAGGATCATCTGGGAATCCAGAAAGTCTTTCCTGTTTTATCACTAATGAAATCAATACAAATTGGCTCAATCAGTAAGGAAATTGCTATAAATCCATCTGGTATTGACTGGTAGTTTTATGTGGTTATTAAAGCTTTTCTATCCCGATTGGAAATCCCTGCGACATAACTCATAATATAAAAAAAATTATTTTATAACTGTTAAAGTGACATTAAAGTCAAAGTTTTTTCCCCTTCCCAATCCTGCTTTAGGGACTTACCTTAAATGATGTCTCTTAATCCGATCTTCTTTGCTGTCCTTTTCATCTGTCCCTCCAGCGCTCGTGCGGGTCTCCGATCCAGTGCCGATTCCTCTGGCCTCCTCTCCTCTGACGTCCCACGGAGTCTGTGCGGGCGCACGCAGACTTACCTTGTGTCTCTCCTCGTCTCTCAGCCGAACATCTGAACTGCACATGCGCCCGCCCCAAGATCCTTTGCGGCAGCCCGAGACTCTTCAGATGTTCAGACAGGAGAGCACATCAGAGACACATCAAGTTTAAACCTCTATAAAAAGATTTTCTTTTTTCTTTTAAGTTATTGCATAGATCTACTGCTTGCTAGCAGTAGATATATGCAAAAAAACGTGAGGGTTTAATTAGCCTTTAATGTCACATGGGGCTGGTCACTAAAATGCATTTGCAAAAAACGGTTTGTTTAAAAATATATTTTCAAAAGGCATCTTATTAAAGATAACCAGGTAAAAATCAAATAATTAGAATATCATGCAAAAGTAATGGCAGTAATTGCTGCAAAAGGGGCCCAAACCAAGTACTGAGTACATATGCATGCTTGTACTTTTCAGAGGTCCGATATTGTTTTATGTACAATCCTTGTTTTATTGATTGCAATGTAATAATCTACTTTTTTGAGGTTGTGGATTTGGGGTTCTTGGGGTTTTCATGAGCTGTAAGCCATAATCATCACAATTATGACAAATCACGGCTTGAATTATCTTGCTTTGCATGTAATGAGTCTTTCTCATATATTAGTTTCACCTTTTAAGTTGCATTAGTGAAATAAATGAACTTTGTACGATATTCTAATTATTCGAGTTTCACCTGTACATATGCAATACGTAAATATTTTTTTAAAATTATAGACTTTAGAACAAACAGTCAAGAGATATTTACAGATAAATACACAGACATATGCATACACAGACACACACAATACCTTGTATAAAGGGCCCAGCTGATAAATTGCGAATATTTGTGCAGCATTGAGTGCTTCGCTGAAAAGGTAGACAGCAGCCATCTGCCCACAAAACACTCGGTTAGCATCGGCTGTTTCGGAAGACCCCAGGAAACACTTGTCAAATGTCTGCAGAATATATGAGAAAAGAGGACAAATTCAAATGTACAAGGTGCCTTGGAATTTCTACCTAAAACGCAAAACTAGGTTAAAAAGTATAGCTAAACAAACTAATCTTTCTCTGCGCTATTTCCTACACTCGAATTAATGTCGCCTTCCAAAACGTTACCTTTAAATGTGTTACTGTGAAGTTTACCTGAGAGCATTTTCTGTTCCATATTTTAATAGGGACATTTCATATAGATTAGCGAATTCTCCCTTTAGTAGCTGTCTGTACATCAGTCAGCAGCATCTATAAGCGAGCTAAGAAAGTGTATCGTTTTCAATAAGCAGCTTCAGACATAAAACGAAGAAAGAGAGAAGAACAGAAAAGCACAATCACTGTGCTACATTACCAAGCATCAATAAAAATGTGCATAGGTATTGGGCAGATACATATGCTCCCAGGTACACATGATTAATAAAACTATCAAGCACATGCATGCAGACTTTAACCATCTAACTGGTCACTTCACTATGGGGGGGGCGGGGGGAGGAAACCTCCACATAAAAAAAAAAGGGAGGAAATACATAGCCTTGGCTTTGCAGCATGTGAGATAACAAGGCATTCTACTACTATGAATAATAAATAGGGACGATGATTCAAGTGGTCAGAAGGATCGTTTTGCAAACTCCTGAAAGTATAGAAATTTCCATGCTGCATTCATTAATGCAGATGAAATTTTCCACTCATAGCTGAGGTGAATTATACTCACGTGATCCTCAGAGCCAGCTTGCTCTTAGCCCAGTCCCTAAAACCCCCCTGCCCCCCTCCGCTCCAGCAATCTAAGGATCCTCGAGTCCTCATGTCCAATACACTGTGTATTGGATGCAAGGACGCTGAAGGATACACCATCACTGCAGCATCGGAGGAGACAGGCTGGAGAGCGTGCTGCGACAGCCGGCCAGCTCCAAGGATTGGGTGAGTATCATTTCTTTTTATTTTAGTCAATTTACTCACAGAAGGCAATTTACTCACATCACTTGTGTTGACAAACCAAGTTATTTCTCCATATGAAGCTAATTCTCCATTCACAAAACACCGCAATTCACTGTTCTTCCATCGATTGTAGATGTGAACAATTGATACCATATACCACTAAAAACAAGGAAAATAAAAATGACACCTAATTTAATTCATACTATATTACAAACAGTACATTCCATACATGTTCCCACAACCTTTGTGCGATCACAGATTTGTGAATCACTGCATCAAAAGCAAGGGGATGCCGGATGCAGATAGACTACCCACTAATGATGTATGAAATTATGGACAATTTCCTATTACACTGTCTTACAATTTCTTATTACATGTCAATAAGATCCGCTAACCAATTTGGGAGAGTTTGCATCGAACGTGCATACATCATTAAGGTGCATATACACCTTACAACCATCGCACAAAATGTATAGTACGATGATCGAACCGTCGTATGAATTTCATACAACAGCCCCATCATGCACAGACCATTGAAGATTTTAATTAGCATTGGTCAGCAGTATCACCTGGCCGAATGTCATCGATTGACCGAACGGGTTTTAGTTGTGCATGTGCGATGTTCTTGGTGCAATTTTTTCCGTACGAAAAGGCCACTAATCTATCACATTTTTTACAATTCAACAGATGTTTTCTAGCCCGCTGGAAAAAAAGTCGAACGGTTGTACGGTAAATGCGGTTGTGCACTACCCATCAACTGTGCGATTTTCAGGTGAAAATGTGATCACAAAAAAAATTGTGCGATAATCGTTAGGTGTATGGGCATCTTTAGTGAGAGTTCTCTCTAAACTATGTAGTGTGAGGGTGTACCTAAACAATGCAATCACTTTGTAGCTAAATCAGGTGGGCCCTCAAACGACAAAGTTATTGGTAAAGCTGGCCATACACTGTGCAACTTTTTTTGATGAATTGGCCAAATTTCGCACAGTGGATGCCCCTGTTGGCACCCTTTCGGCCGGCATCCCTAGATCAGCTGATTGAAGGAGCCAGTCAGAAATTTTCCAACAAACAGAGCCGGCAGCCAATACTGGTCAGTCAGTTATACAATAAAGACAGCAGGAGCTTCCTCCATCAACACTTGTAAAACGGAGGAATCTGTAATATTTTCTTTGTTAAAGGAGAACTATGGGGTTAGGGCTTTTCCCCATAGTTCTCCTTAGGGTAACGGGAGGACACAAACTAGCGTCCTCCCGTCACCCCAGGCTCAGTATACCGCGAGCTGTAGCTACTGCTTGCGGTATACTAAGACGCTGCAGCTGAAGTGGATCCCGACAATTATGTCTGGATCCGCCCACATGCGTGACTGACAGGCAGAGCCAGCTATCTAGAGGCAGAGCCAGCTGTACCCGCCCCCTCCCCCGTCCGTTCCGCCAGTCAGCGCTGGAGGTTTGGAGCGGGGAGGGGGGAATCCAGTCCCTCCCCTGTCACGGCAGAGAGCCGCGACAGGATCGAGAGGTGAGCGAATGCCGGTATGTGTTCGCTCACCTCCCGATCTACTGAGTTGACCTGTGACAGTCTCATTGTCACAGGTCGGCTAGAACTATGAGGTGAGTGAAACAAAGAAAATATTAGAGTGTATGGCCAGATTTAATCTAAAGGAGATTTGCTCAGGTTGTATGCTTAAAGAAGAACTGTGGGGTTAGTGAATTACACTCAAACCCATAGTTAGAGCTGATGTGTGACATTGAAACTGTCAAACTCAAATGTCATCTCTATTGATCGGGAAGTGAGTGAACAGAGAGAAAATCTGCACGTAAACAGACAGAAGCCCATCAAGAAACTCCTTACACACCTTCTGTGGCTTGAAGTCATACTTCACACAGTGCTGGAAGCCTTTTCCCTTTGACTTAATGGATGTGATGATCAGGCAGCCACCAACAAAATGAGCAGAATAACCAAGTCCTTTGTTTGTTCTGAAACTGTAAAAATGAGTGTTAATTTGAAAGTCTCATAAGTTTTCAGTCAAAAAACTAAATTAAAATTTGAAACACGGCAGTACTGTCATTTAATCACAAAGATTACATAAAAAAGGGAAATAATTACATTCAAATTGTATTAAAAATTCAAATGCTTAATTTAAAGCTGGATAGACTTGGGAGGTCAAGGCTGTTCATCACTAGGCAAAGCAATTATTGAAAGCTTTTCTATGTCCTAAACAAAGTGAAAAACTCTTTATAGGCCATGGATACAATGCCAGGTATTCAGTCAAAGAACACACTAAAAGCTGCAGAGATCCGCTGAGGATTTTTAAAGGAGGAGATCAATATATTCATAAATGATCTCGACCCATCCACCCATATAACTTGCTCAGCATGACTGATCCTATGAAATAGTGATATAGTCCAAGGAGCTTATCACAAACCACAGCCACATCATAAAATGTATAAAGGCAATGACAAAGTTATACTTCATTCAAACTGTTAGCATCTCTCCTCAAAATGTATGCCCTGATAAGACTTACCAATACAAATAGGGCTTTGCTGTGTCAACGTTTATATTGTTTACTGGATCCATTCTTAGCCATGTATGAAAAGTGAAGCCATTCTGGTATGGCCATTTAGCAATTGGAGGTAAGGCAATGGCCTAAACATAAAACATAGGATTTAAATTGGATAACATTTTATTTTATAACAAACTTCAAGAACACGGAAAACACACTTTCAGCTAGTTTTCTCTTAATTTTAAATTAAATCTATAACCAGGCTATAGATGAGCAAATATTGTATATACAAGCAGTTAGAGATGTTCCAATACCGATACTAGTATTGGTATCGGGGCCAATAAAGGGCATTTTCACAAGGGCATTCTCATGAAAATTCCCAGACAGTAAAAAGGCCAAAATAATGGCCCTTTAAATTTATAAACAATCGCGCTTGATGGGGACCTCAGGCAGCCTACTGGGCCTCGTGGTAGCCGTCTCCACATCTTCCTCCTTCCCGGCACCCGCAGAGACAGGCACAGCACTGGACAGCCTCACACGTCCGTAGAGGCCGGCAGCCAACCACAGAGCCCTGGAGAGGCCGGCAGCCAACCACAGGGGGAAAGTTCTTGTACTTGGTCTTGAAAACATGGTATTGGGACATCCCTACAAGCAGCAGGTAACTGTCAAAAGAAGACCTCACTGAATTCCATAGCTGCAAGCACTATGGAGAAATTAATCCTCAAAAATAAAAGCAGAAGCATGAAACTTGGTTGACTCATTTCTTCAGCAGTTCAGCTCTTCCTACTTTGTAGTGACTCAGCAGCCTTCAATAATTCCAATATCTAATGTATGCTCCTGAGAAAATAATTTGAATTACTTCAGTGCTTCTGTTGTAGACTTTGAGAATGAATGGCTCTATAGTGCTTGCAGCTACAAAAAGGTCAGATGAGGTGTGTTAAGAAGTTAATTTACTACCGTTTAGGTAGTAAATGCCCACATGTTCACTCCAAGTTTACACTTGATAAAACATTACAAAACTAGCTAAACATCATCTTAACGGGCAGCACAGTGGTGTAGCAGCTAGAACGTCTGCTTTCAGCAATGAAGGTCCCCAGTTCAAATCCCATCCAGCTCACAATCTGCAAGGAATTTGCATGTTCTCTCTGTGCTTGCATGGGTTTCCTCCGGATACTCTGGTTTCCTCCCACACTTAAAAGGCATGCTGGGATGTTGATTGACTGCTGTCTAAATTGGCCCTGTATGCAGGTGAGTTAGGGACATTAGATTTTAAGCCCCTCCAGGGCAGGGACTAATGTGAATGTGCAATATGTAAATTCTGGGCGCTATATATAAATACCTGTAATAAATAAATAACCCCCCAGCTGCTCCCTTAACCATGTGACATATGTCAGTCATGTTAAAAGTGCGATTGACTTTTTCAAAGTCAAACAACCGTATTTCATAGAAGAAGAATGTGGTACATGTAAAATTTAAAGATAAAAACTTCAACTGACCACAAGCAGCATTATAAACAGACTAGGCAAAATGTAAGCTAGAAAAACCTCCTCAATCACATATAGGAGTGTCCATTAAAAGAGCAGATGTAACAACACTTTCTTAGACTAGAGCACAATGCACCGATGCAGAGCACAAACAGTGAAATCTCCATAATTATTCCTCCATTTTCTATCACCCACTGATTAAAGTTTACATAACTTAAGATTTGCTTGATCATTAAGGGCCGGTGCACACCAAGGCGATTTATCACGTGGTTTGAGTCGCGCAATATCGCTCAAAACACAGATTCGCATTGAAGTCAATGGAGGCTGCTCACACCTTTGCGGTTTGTGGTGCAGGAGCTATTTTCGGCCACTTGTCGCACGGTTTATCATAGACCTCTCTATGCATTGTAAAATGCACAGCAACTGCGCGGTTAACAGTCGCGTGATCGAAAACGCACGAAAACAGCTCGACATCTGATAGGTGTGAACCTAGCCTAACAGTGTTTCTCCCACCAATTGGCATCATCACTTGCAGCAATTGGGTTGTGTATGGCAACTACACCGTTTGCAGGTATAAGCTACTGTACAATGCCGAATGTCTCAATTTATTTAAAATAGCTACTTTTTTTAGGCTGTGCACAGTATCAGTTTACACAAGAAAGGATTTCCAGAAGTTTCCATGTTTACAGGGATACACTGCAAAGTCCCAAGGTTCATATAAAGAGGCGACACTGCTTATAAATATTTACAATAACGTAGATGATGATATTATAGGCATATACATATAGCAGTATTTGTTCACTAACAAGTATAGTGTTACTTGCATCACTAACATTTGAAAAGCCACATATTAAAAATTTAATTTAGTGCTGCAAATAGCAATAGGTGAAAGGTTGTTAATTTCACGCAAAAACAGAAATAAAAAAAAAGAAGAAGAATTACAGAAGTACAGGACACTGATGTAGCACAGTACTTACTGCAGCACTCTTTCCTGGGAAGTTGAAAAAGGCATCAGGGCCATATTTCTGAGGCATGTGCTTTAACACCGACAAAAGCTTCACCGCATGTGGAGGCTGCGACAGATCAAACCAAAAAAGAATTAAGAAAGTTCTGGCTCTGAAGAGTTAAGCAATAAATAGCACTTGCACTTTTAGTGCAAGACTAACCTATGAAACTTATCAGTTTCCTTCCAAGTGCAGCTACTAGCAGAATCACTGGTATACACTTGGCACGGCTAATGCCATCAGTCTGGAGGCAGTTAGTCACATAACAAGACAAAGGAAGACCTTGCTGGAAGGCTTCCCTCTGTCAGGAACTGCGTTGACAGGTCTTAACAGGGAGCAGGAAGATATAGAATACCCAGAAAATGTCATTAACTGTGGGTCCCACTATGACCGATGAAGTGTCACCAGTCAGGGTCACCAGACCAACATAGGTTATTAGTACAGGACGGGGAGGGGGGTTATTGCCTCCCAACCCCTCAGCCCAGTCCTTCCCTGAGGTGAAGGCATTGTTCAAGGCTGTGCTGTGATCTCTACAAGAGTCAGTCAATAACTACCTACAATTATTACAAGCGCACATTACTTGGCATGCATGCACCTAACATGGAAAATATATCTGACGCCAAGCACACTTTACCACTAACTTGCTGCCCAGGAAGACAAATCATACAGTACAGATAACATTTACAGGAACTGCTTCGTAGTGGCAAAACTCAATTGTGTGGGTAAAGCCGGGTATACACGCTTCCAAATTTGATAGATGGATGCTGCTGTCGGCATCATTCCACCATCTGATCAAAGGGGCATGTTGGAAAATTGTTAGCCGAACACATCTAGCAGCAAATGAGCTGCCAGCCCTGTTAGTGTATTCTGACAGTGGCCTAGGTTTCTTTTTAAATGTTCCTCCATACAATAAGTGAAATCAGTGAAGTGTCAATGCCTTACAGTTTCATGAACCTGATGCAGGCAAAATGTTAGCTCAGTTCATCTTAATACGAGTTGTAGGGAATCAAATGCAGCTTTAATAAAAGCTGCTGGGTGGGCTGCGCATCAGATTCTGTTATTACACATTCATAAGACTGAGCTATGAACTCTCTGGAAAAACTGGATTAATGGCAAATAGATCATTTCAAGCAATAGGGTAGCCTGGGGTACTACAACAATGCCTGGATAAATACAGAAGAAAGGCTGTGCTCCGTGTAAACAATTCAAGGCTACATTTCCAGTGCTTTTGGCTGACCTGTACCATTAAAAGAAATTCACATGACAGCAAAAGAGATGCAACAAAAGATTTCCTTCCTCAACCCAAAACACAATCCTCTTTACAATAACTAATGTTGTTATATACGGAACTAAAGCCAAAAATCAGTATGGGAATTAGAAAGACGGAACAATGTTTTACTATTGTAGCCGGTAATAAAATTGTATTGGCTAGGGTGGTTAGGACTGTGGATTTACTTTCTACTACACAGTTACTGCGTAGGGACTGTCTTACGGACATTTGATCATATCCCTTAAAATGGCATGAAAGGTTCTATGTTCTACATTAAAAATCTATTGAATTTGTTGATGCTCAAAAATCAGTTGAAATAAACGGTGTTCTTACCCAATGTCCCGCTTCTCCTTGGAGCTTACTAAAGAACAACTTTAACTCCCGGACGGTAAGACTATAGCTTGCCAAAACCCCCAACATGTCCACCATCAGGTCTGTAACAAAGGACAATGCAGTACATTCAAGATCATTTAAACAGAAGTAATAAGATAAACAGGTTTGAAATGCAGAAGAGCATTAAACAGAAAAAAAGTAATTAAATAATGGTTGTGGTATACTAACCGTACACTGGCAGCTTAACGATTTTTATCTGAGGTTAACAAAATGTAATAGATATAAAACTCATCATTTCAAAGAAGAGTACTTCCATATAAAGTACACTTATCCTGCCTGCCAGGTTAATATCTTCCTTGTCACATGTGGTGCCTGATCAGTGGGTCTTCACAGACTTCTAATGGACAGTCCTGGAGTGTCCCGGGGATGCTTTGAAGACATTACCATAAAAAGTCAGCAAGGACTTATTGAGCAGGTGTGACCAGTGGCAAGGAAATATTCAGGCACGCGTTGCAAACATTGCCAAAGACAAGTATGTATGCATGCATCTGGGACAGGGAGTGGTGGGATACTTTTGATCACGGGAGCAAAACAGGCAAGATAATAGTACTTTATGTTTAAGTAGGTATTATCATTCAAGGGGTCATGAAGAACCTTTTGAGTCCAGGTTGAGTCGCATGCTAGGCTCAATCTATTTTGCCAAGGGCAGTAGAAAGCAACGGATTAGAATGTGTTCCTGTTCAGATGCTTTCTGCTGCACTTAGCAAAATTGTCAAGTGCATGTGAACACAGGGGGATTGTTGCTTATAGTTAAGGAATCTTGCAAGTAGAAAGTGCAGAAGGCGCCGTGCAGTCAGGTGGGGGCTCTGACCAGTTCTTAAATTGCAATCAACACAAGCAAATTATCAGGATCAGATGTCCGGCTGAAGATTAGACAATTTGCAATTAAAATCTGCAAATTTTAGTAATATATTTGCTCATCTAAAAAAATTTTAAAAAAAAAGTAACATTTAACAATTATTTCTTGTATCTATTTATCTTAAAGATGAATCCAGGAAAATTAATCTCGGAAAAGAACAAAATAAATGGGTACATGAAAGATTATACAGGAGCCTAGCAATCATGGTCTTATGTATATGTCCTATAGAAAAAGGAAAAGAGCGGTCATCAGACTTTGTGTGAATAATAAACCACCCTAATCCCTACATAGACAAATTAAGCAAAACAGTCCCATATACCATTTATTGTTTAATCTACTGTTACATAAACCTCGCTCTTATTGTGTTGCAGTCAACTTTTAAAAAGCACATTACCTGCAATCATGCTGTCAACTTTATCAATTCTACTCAGAACTTGTTCAACCAAACCAACTTCTGTACACACTAAAAGATTGCGAATGCTCTTCTTCAGAATGGCTGTAAAGATGCTCCAGATTTCTGCTTGGCAGGTGACATCACATTTGTCCAACAATTCAACCATGCAGATGATGCTCTCTCCTTCCTGAATGATGAAATTCATCTCCAGATCAAACTGTCCTCCTACAAGCTGTAGATAAAAGATATAAAGCTTTAGTGAATCACTTTGTTATTAAAATGCAAGGGGATGTAACAGGTACATTAAGGCCTCATTCACACAGGGTGTGATGCTCTGTACAGCGTGAAGGACCATTTTTTCATGTGCCCATAGCTGCAGGAAGAAGCGTGGATGGATCATGTAAGTCTGTGTACATGCTGTTAACCCTCACACACTGCTTCCTGCAGCTCCGAATTTTGACAGCCACACATCCACGATGCATGGACTTGGATCCATCATGTATGTGTCCAAGGCTGCATGTGTGCAACACACCTGTGTGAATGGAGGCCTTCACTATCACAAAGTCATACTACTCAACTACCACCATTGCAGTGGGCTGATTACAGTGTTATGACAACTAAAGAAACAGGATTTCATAGCTAGAGTGCAAATTGTTATAATTAACATATAATACAATTACAGTTACAATTATAATTACAATGAGTTTTCCATAACTAACCCATCTATATCAATTCTGTTCTGCTATTACTCTTTCCTATAAAAGCTCCTTATATAAACTGGCCAGTTTAAGGACAAGAAGCCCATAAGATTCAAAATATCATTTGAGTCAACTTTATTTTCCCATCTGTGTAACATACAGTAATCCTATTTTCACAACCTGAGTGATGGAACAAGGTAGAGAAATGCCACATTACTGTGCAGCAGTTTCATCTGTCAGAATATACTAGAATAAGCCAAAAATAGAATATGGCTGCAGGGAACGTCACATAACCATCTTGCAGCAGCATTTACCGATGCCATGTAAAACACCACAAAAGAAGCAGACAAAAATGATACACCAAATAAATTGCTAGAAAAGGAGATTATTTTCCGATTATAAACAATATGATAATATATAAGACGATAGGTTATGGTAACGCAGGCTAAATGGATTATAAAAAAGCCCTCCACTAAACCAGAGAAGAGCACAGCAGAGCGGTCTTTAAGCCGAATAATATATGCATGTTTCTCTTCTGTCACAAACCCAATAAATAGAGTCTATTACTTATTTTAGGATAGCAGGTATAACCATGTAATCCATGCATCTAAACCCAAAGATGTAATATATAACAGACAACCAGTTTTGATGTGGTAGCTGCATTCTTCACATTTATTTTCACCTGGTAATCCTGCAAATAACACTTCCTGTCTTCACGCAGCTACATCACTTACTCCAGTGTATCTACAGAGACAGCCATGGTTGTCATCCAGGCTCTATTACATTTGCATTGATGGGATTAGCAGTTTACAAAAGACAAATAAGGTTGTGTTTGCGGTCTGTCTGCTCAGAGCAGTGACACGGACACCAATTCTGTCAAAATCAACCGGTGTTTTCTGTACTTGCTGAAAATGTGCCCAGTCTGAAAAATTAAAACCAAGTCAGCCAGCAAATCTAAGAACATTCCATCATGTACAGAAAAATAGGAATTATGTCTCACCTGTAAAAAAAAAAAAATTCTTGGAGTACATTATAGGAAGTATTCAGGAGCATTGGGTTATGCTGCTGCATTCAGGTGATTGGACACTTAAACAAATACTGTAAGGACAGCACAGTATAATCCCTCCCAGCCATCGTCAGTTTTGTAGCAAGCAATAAGAGCATGAGAAGCAGAACCTGTGGCCTGAAACGTACTTCAAGAAAAGGAGTTTACAGATGAGACAAAATTACTATTTTCTTAATAGTGGAGAAGGCTCCACAGATCACAGCGCAAACTGAAGAACCTTAAGGTGCCCATACACTGCACGATTATCGTACGAGAATCGCCGGGAAATCCCACGATCGTACGATAATCGCAAAGTGTATGGAAGGCGTGCAACCGTTTATACTGTACGGTCGCACGTCTCCCGTTGAACAAGCAGGCTGGAAAACCCGCCGGGAATCGTACGATTCTCGGAGAGTTAGTGGCCTGCTTGTTCGACAACTGCCGAACGGGCCGCTGTGCGCACGCGCACACTGCCTGTTTGCAGTCATCGGAAGCCCGCCCCTCATTGCAGTCATCGCAAGCACGATCTGACTGTCCAAGATGGGCAGATCGTACGTTTTTTAAATTACTTTACAACCCACGCAAGACAAAAGTCTTGTGAGGGTTGTAAAGTGTATGGCCACCTTAAACACCCGAAGCCAGTGTCTGCTGAGGCCTGAACTTCCACCTGGTAAAACCTAACAATAAGTGAAGGGAAGACTGGTTGGGGGCCTTACAATCTGAGAAAAGATGCCCAATGTTGAAAGGCCCATGAAGCACTGACAGATCAAGTAGAAGGCACTTTCGCAGAACTAAAGAATTGTCAAATCCACCTAACACTAGTGGAACAAGAAGCATGGTGACCGCTGCAAGGGCCCTCTGGAACAACAAAACAGGGTTAGACTGTTGAAAAGGAGCTGTAGCAGAGATATAAACTTGAATAGTGTGTACCACATCCAAACGATGTTATTACTTATTTTAGGATAGCAGGTATAACCATGTAATCCATGCATCTAAACCCAAAGATGTAATATATAACAGACAACCAGTTTTGATGTGGTAGCTGCATTCTTCACATTTATTTTCACCTGGTAATCCTGCAAATAACACTTCCTGTCTTCACGCAGCTACATCACTTACTCCAGTGTATCTACAGAGACAGCCATGGTTGTCATCCAGGCTCTATTACATTTGCATTGATGGGATTAGCAGTTTACAAAAGACAAATAAGGTTGTGTTTGCGGTCTGTCTGCTCAGAGCAGTGACACGGACACCAATTCTGTCAAAATCAACCGGTGTTTTCTGTACTTGCTGAAAATGTGCCCAGTCTGAAAAATTAAAACCAAGTCAGCCAGCAAATCTAAGAACATTCCATCATGTACAGAAAAATAGGAATTATGTCTCACCTGTAAAAAAAAAAAAATTCTTGGAGTACATTATAGGAAGTATTCAGGAGCATTGGGTTATGCTGCTGCATTCAGGTGATTGGACACTTAAACAAATACTGTAAGGACAGCACAGTATAATCCCTCCCAGCCATCGTCAGTTTTGTAGCAAGCAATAAGAGCATGAGAAGCAGAACCTGTGGCCTGAAACGTACTTCAAGAAAAGGAGTTTACAGATGAGACAAAATTACTATTTTCTTAATAGTGGAGAAGGCTCCACAGATCACAGCGCAAACTGAAGAACCTTAAGGTGCCCATACACTGCACGATTATCGTACGAGAATCGCCGGGAAATCCCACGATCGTACGATAATCGCAAAGTGTATGGAAGGCGTGCAACCGTTTATACTGTACGGTCGCACGTCTCCCGTTGAACAAGCAGGCTGGAAAACCCGCCGGGAATCGTACGATTCTCGGAGAGTTAGTGGCCTGCTTGTTCGACAACTGCCGAACGGGCCGCTGTGCGCACGCGCACACTGCCTGTTTGCAGTCATCGGAAGCCCGCCCCTCATTGCAGTCATCGCAAGCACGATCTGACTGTCCAAGATGGGCAGATCGTACGTTTTTTAAATTACTTTACAACCCACGCAAGACAAAAGTCTTGTGAGGGTTGTAAAGTGTATGGCCACCTTAAACACCCGAAGCCAGTGTCTGCTGAGGCCTGAACTTCCACCTGGTAAAACCTAACAATAAGTGAAGGGAAGACTGGTTGGGGGCCTTACAATCTGAGAAAAGATGCCCAATGTTGAAAGGCCCATGAAGCACTGACAGATCAAGTAGAAGGCACTTTCGCAGAACTAAAGAATTGTCAAATCCACCTAACACTAGTGGAACAAGAAGCATGGTGACCGCTGCAAGGGCCCTCTGGAACAACAAAACAGGGTTAGACTGTTGAAAAGGAGCTGTAGCAGAGATATAAACTTGAATAGTGTGTACCACATCCAAACGATGGAGGGAAATCTTCATAAGATGTTTTGGCAAAAGACATAGAATTGGTTAAGACAAAGGAAGAAACTACCTTGGGAAGAAAAGATGCCCTAGGCCACAAAACAGCGTTGTCCTTGTGTAGCAAAAGAAAATTCTCCTTACAAGTTAAGGCTGCCAACTCAGAAACACACTGCATGCAGAAGTGGTGGCGATAAGAACGGCAACCTTACAAGTAGGGGTAGACAGAGGAATATCGCTAATTTGCTAAAAGAACAGTCTCTGAAGGCCAACAGGACTAGGTTAATGATCCTACTGAGTCACTGAGAAACATACAGGGGGAGCAATGTTACCCATACAAAGTTCTTTAGTGAGGAATGAGGGGCAAGTGGAGATTTAGGATCCATCTGAATCTCTGTAGGGTCTGTTTGGTCTATCGGACAATGGCTGACAGAGCCTGAGCCATACATTCCCTCAGGAGATCGTCTGGATAACCCACTATGGGGATGCACCGAGAGTGAAGCAGAGCAAGAACAGGGGCTAGCTCCGTCGAGCCACTAAATATCGTATTTTGTAGTGTCTCTGCATCATGGTCACACTAATCATCCCCGTCCTTTAACTGCCCGACTTTAATTTGTTTTACCCATTTGGGCTTAATTGTAGAATTTACTGCTATCTCTACAATTAAGTCCAAACGGGTGAAAGACATTAGACAAGGGGGGGTTGAAGGACAAGGATGATTAGTGTGGTGTAACCATGATGCAAAAACAAATAAACGCAATGTTCAATGAGGCGGATGTTGCCTTTTGCCTTGGGGTCAGTGAACAGATTTAAATAGAAATCCTGCAACCTCTCTTCCTCTGGGGCAATGGTTATGAAAGAGGAGCTGCTCTAGAGCAGCCCAATGGTCTGTCAAGTTGTGGGGAGATATTGGCAAGTTTAACAACAAAGCAGGGAGGAGGTAAAAGACCAAATTCCTAATCTTTAGTCCTTGGAAAAAGTACTCCGGATCCAAGTGCCTAAAACTTCCTGGGACCAGATGGTCAAGAAGGCCAACAGGCCTTCCCCACTCGGACAAGTGGTAACGCCCCCTCTGAGAGGAGGACGTTCTGCCGGACTAGACGGCTTTGGTGTTCCAGGT